TCAATTCGTAGAAACAGTCTGACCTCGCAGCATTAGAATTTGTTCGCTTGACAGTAGGCAGGTACTTTATTGTATTTAACCAATCGCTGCTATTTGGTTGTGACGTATGTAATGCGCCGCTAACGGGGATAACTGGTATATTAAGCTTTCACAAATTCCGTAGGAAGAAGGGCAATAACATCTTTCCCCTTGATAAAATTCATGAAACATTCTCTTTGTTCCGGCTTTAAATCCTCGATCTCAGAAATTGTTGCAACGCAGAATGTATGGCTCTTTGCTGATTGGCTGGTGTCCGAACTCGCACTTCCAGGGTTTTTGCAAAAACGTCTAGTGTATTCTGATTCCTGATCTAGTCGCTAGAGAGAAATGAAATTGAGTGGGGTAGCCTGGCTATGGGCCTTACACAAGAAAGCAAAAATGTGAGTTCAAGTGCTACAAATAGTGGACAGTTATAAACAGCTTTGTTCCTCTGCAACACGAAAACAAAATTATAATTAAAAAAAGGTGTTTAAGATGTTCTGATTGACACTTTGCTTTGTTATCAACATTCCCTGGGGGGTATGATGCTAACTGAAAGCACTACTCTGTTAGAAGACTAGTGTTGTTACTCAAGCACTACTGTTACTCAAGTTAGACTTAATCTGACCAGAAAAGGTTGACACGGTTGGATGATTTGTAAGTTTAAACAAGTCTCTCATGTAAAATTACTGCCACAAGCTATCGAGCATCAGCCAACAGTTCAGTTTCAGTTGCTCACTCTCATCTTTGTGTTGAAAATCTAACTCACAGGCTCCTGAAAATGTGTTGTTTAAATCCATTTTGTATTTATTCATGAGTTTTTAGACAATCTTAAAACTTTTCTGTCTGTGTTTGCTAGTGTGCAGTGTATTGCCACGGTACCTATTGAACTTTCTGCCCTTACAGATACATGTAGATCTGCAAATTATCAGTAGGGTTCAAGGCATTTGGTTGGTTGCTTGGTTACAGTCTTCAAATTCAACTTCCAACCTTGATTGACACAAAGAAAAGATTTCACACTTGAAGATTATGTAACAACACAGTGAAATTCATACCCACTGTAGCTAATTAAACAAGACTAATCACCAAAACAGGCGCTGATAGTTCAAAACGATGTGAGAAAAAGAAAGTCATTTATCTCATCTAGACTAGAATCAATACCAAGACAATCATGTTGACTGTATCCGATTATTTTTTCATGTATTTGAAGAAAATGTCTTCAGATTTTCAAAACTGGAACTGTCACGGATAAATGGGGACGTCTGGTCACCCTAGTCTTGTCCCAATGCAGATATATTATATAAGCAGCTGGTCTGTGTACTGTCTGCATTTTATTGTCCGATAATCAGGAAGTACGCGTTAACGTGCCACGGTGCCCTTGCTTCATGTGACCGCAAAACTCCACTTTGCTCTCTGTAAGTTGTGAAAAGTGCTTTTAAAGTCATCATGGTGAATAATTTGCAGTAGAAAATTTGTGATTTTAGTACATTTCTTTGGATCGCAAAATAATTATCTGATTATTGTTATCAGGATATTCCCGAAATAGTTGAGGTAGCCATTTTTATCCCCAATAAAACTAGATATATTTATTTAACACATTACTAGGGATGTAACAATAACCGAAATATCGTGATATCATATCATCAAAGTTCTCACAATAATATCGTGGACCATCACAATATATCGAATTACAAGTCTCTTTGCTTAAATGAAGAGTTATGGTGCAACAGCTAAAAAAAGACAGATGGAACTACATAGACCATGATCCTTTGCTCCATTTCAGCAAGAAGAATAAAATACAATACAAGAATAAATAACAGTTCTAAGCACTTTTAAGTCTTAGTTCTTTGGCTCAAGTTTTGTAAAGGCATTTTAAGAAGTAGCATATTAACAGTATTGTCAACCTCCACAAAATATCGCAATAAATATCGCACTGTGAGATGTAAATCGTGAATATATCGTAACAAGAGATTTGGATATTGCTACAACCCTAAATCGTGAGCTTTCCCACGATATCGCAGTAAATATCGTACTGTGAGGTTCATACTGTGCCGATATCGTATCGTGAGACTTGGATATCGTCACACCCCTACACATTACCCAGCAAAGTACTATGGGGGTGGTACAAGATCTCGTGAGACAACACTGCCACAAGATCGTGCACACATGAGAAAAATTATCTTGTGAGATTTTTTTCCTTGTGTTTGCATTTGGAATGGACAACAACGGGTCATGGTTTGGTGTGTTACATCTCTTACAATTCCAAAAAGCAGTAGTAAAATGGAAACAAGAATATGAAATCAAATAAATACAAACTTGTGAAGCCAAAATTGGAAACTGAATCGTGAAATGTGTATATTAGGAATTATGTTAAATCTCATCTTGTCTCGTTCTCGTGGACCCGATTTCATATCTCGTCTCGTCTTGTGGAAATTGGATCTCGTCCCAGCCCTACAATATAATGTTTCTATCTTAAAACACCAAGATAACAAGGACATAAGGATATGAAACACTAACTACATAAAACTCAAGTCAGCACCTTATCACTACAGGGCGCATGATTCAACAGTGATAAAATCTGACCTATAAAAAAAATATGCTACCTTTATGATTACAAGTGATCTCGCCTGTGCAATTTTGATATATATAGCTGATAAAAAATTAATAAATTAAATAGTACACTTTCAAGATCATTAAAAGCTCCTATATTACACTCTTGTGAGATTTTAGCCATGTTAGAATGCTGTTACCTCCTCAAAAACATACCCAGAGTTGTTGCATTAGGTAGAGTACTTCACTGGGTCTTAAAAGAGTTAAAAAAATAATAGTACAGGTGCTCTACGAGGGTTAAAACACTGATCTTAGAACAGAAAATTACCCTTACAGGAAAATGTAAAAATGGGTAAGGTACAAACCCGAGGCACTCCGATTGAATATATTAAAAGTCCTTTATTACATGAAGGGATGCCAACGCGTTTTGACCAGCAAGATGGTCTTTGTCAGGGCAAAGTAGTACCTAGAATTGTGTTTTGTTTCATTCACACATGTCTTAGTAATCCTTGTTTATTAGCCTGTTGACATCTCCAAAGCTCAAAATGCTCTGTTCCACTTCGTGATGTCATGTAGTACACAACCACATTACACGGAAAATCAAGTTTATCTTAACACAAAGCCTGCCAGGAAAATCCTATCTCAAAGTTGTTATGTAGCCTACTTTGACACTGAGCTGAAACTGTGTGGCCTGAAGGTAGAGCAAAGGTCTCAGTGTAATTATGTTAAAACGCTTTATCTGCACAAAAGTAAAGTCTGCAGAGTCACGACCACTGTCTCCACTGCACTCTCTCAGGCTGGTAACATAGATAGATAAAATGATAGATAGAATGATGAAATGACAGAATGGTCGATAGATATTATACATATTCCAAAATGATTACATTTTTTGGCAGCAACAATGAAAAATAGCAAAAGCAAAGCAGGCATAAAGAGTGCTCAGGTCTTACACGATAACAAATTTTGAGTGGAGCATGAAATTAAAAAGTGGAACAGAGTGTTTTATGTTTGAGTGAAGAGCCCTAAATATGCAGCATTTGTGTGTTAAACATGTGTGAATGAAACAAAATACAACTCCAGGTATGTTTTGAGGAAACAACGTTATAATAACATAGATCAGAAAATGACATAATCTGGGCTTTTTAACCTTTAAAATATGCCAATAGGACTATGTACTCCTAACCAGGCTGGCACCAATTTCAATCAATCATTCAATTTCAATTTCATTTCTCTCCAGTGACTAGGTCAGGAATTGGAATACACTAGATGGTTCGCAACAACCCCGGAAGTGCGAGTCCGGGCACAAGTCAATCAGCGAAGAGCCATACTTTCTATGTTGCCAACGATTCCCGAGATCGAGGATTTAAAGCCAAAACAAAGAGAATGTTTGGTGAATTTTATCAAGGGGAAAGACATTATTGCACTTCTTCCTACAGGATTTGGGGAAAAGCTTAATATACCAGTTAGCATTACATACGTCACAACAAAATAGCAGCGATTGTTTAAATAAAAAAGTACCTATCTACCATCGAGCAAACTAATTCTAATGCTGCGAGGTCAGACGGTTTCTATGAAGTGAAACAGGCTGATGAATCAGGCTATAATCTGGGCCCTTTTACCTTTAAAAAATGTCAACCCTCCAGATGGGACTATGTACTCCTATACATGGCCATGATGTAGAAGGGGGCTGCATCACTGTGGTCTCCCATTGCTTCTGACAGGTAATTACTGCAGCACTGATAGAAATGCAAAAGACAAATATACTCCAACTGGTTCCAAAACCCTAAAAGTCTTACTTCTATGGGGTGTTAACTGCAAACACGCAGTTTTTTTGTGCATCTTGTTACATTTTATTGTTTTGAAATGCTATATTCACTGAAATATAAATTTTTTTTACATTTGTTTTTGAAGCTCTGAGTCTCCCCTCTCTTTGCTATGAGCGATATCATAACACAATCAGCATACATCCTGCTAAAACTACTGTACATCACATCAACAAGTTGCTGTGTACAGTTTTCTATCATGTTTTTGTATATTTATGGAGAATTGTCATGTGGGAGCATGTGGGAGTGATGTAGGCTACTCAAACATGCATGGACAACATATAAAACCTCTTCAGGCATGTTTTTCATGTGGGAACAACTTTATAACATGGTAGGAGGTAGAATAAAAAAGAAAATTTGCATAATAGCCCTATTTAAGTAAGTATGCACGCTGCCATCATCTTGTTAACAAACTGCCTTCATGAAGAACAGGAACAACAACAACTCCAACCAGCTTTTTCACTGCCTGTTCACACTTGGAAATACTTCATTTTGTCTGAGATGCTGCACATTTGATGGAAGTTCATAAAGTGTAATGCTGTTTTTCTACTGAAAGTGTGTGTGGGTACGCGCGTGTGTGTGTAGATTCTCGTGTGTGTGCGAACTGACCTCCAGCTCCGTCTCACATCTGTTGATGTCGTCTGTGGACTGGTTGAGTTTCTCCAGCTCCCCCTGAGCACAGCAAACACAAGCACATTCAAAATAAGGGAGAGCGTAAAAACCTGAGGATGTTTCAGATATCTAGACCTCAGACATATTTGTTGAACTATCTAATGTAAATGACATGGCCCAGAGTTTGTGCGCAATGTTAATAATTTGCTGTCAGTTAAAGGTGTTGCGTAGCTTTTCTGGTGGAGGGTCTGCCAAGTGCTTTTCTCCATAGAAACGTTCTTGCTGCATCTGGAATGTATCATCTACCTAGAATGATACTAAACCTTTATATCTTTATGGAGATCAAACCAGTCCAAGTTACAGGTCCGATCTGTGGAGAGGTGACCCTGCTCACAGTCAGAATCCCTGCTTTTCAAGACATTTTTGAGCTATAAAACCACCTGTACTTGAATAAATGTCATACTGTGGAACATTCTAGGTAGAGCAATTATCCATAGAAACAAGCAGGTGACACCCTCATTCAAAAAAGTTACACCTTTAACAAGTCTGTCCAAGTCTAAAGACTCCAGATGTGAAGGTTGAACAATGTCAAAATGATAATGGCATAGTAGCTGTGTTAAAAGCCTGTAAGCTTGATATGCCTGGATATTTCTGGTACTTTGGCTTTGGAAAAACAAACATTTCATTCAGTAGTGGCACTTTTAGATAAGCAATGGTTAAGATATGAGTATAGTACATAAAGAGCTCAGTGAGTAGCCCACTGTGTACTGCATACCACCAACAGGGCTGCCGGGGTGCCCTTCAGCATCAGTTTGACAGCTTACAGTGTCTACCTGCATTTTAGATTGTGAATAATGATACATAAGCCAATGTTTTAACAACGAATTCCGCTCCACCTCGATTTTAAATGGATTCAAACTGAGTCACGCGCTGCAATGCACTTTGTCACCCATCAAGTCCCATTGTTGCCACACGAGACAAGAGCTGTAGTAAAATCCTCTTAAAACAAAATTTAAATCAAACAAAATGAAAACGCTCCTGAACTGACCTGTATTCTGGGGTCCACCTCCTCGTCCTCGTACTCCGTCTCGTCCTCGGAGCGCTGTCCCCGGTCTGAGGGCTCCATCGTCGGCTGCAGAAGGACAGATGTGACCGCGGTGAACAAAGACAGCCAGGCGCACGGGGGCTGGTCTACGGGAGACACGCGGAGCCTCGGTCGGTGTGTGTGTGTGTGTGCCTCAAGCCGGTGGTCTACACGCGGTCTGCGGGCTGCACCACGGCCGCGTCTTCCCCCCTCATGGGCTGTGCGTGTGTCGGTCTCGTCCGGAGTGGAGCTGCAGAAAGTTCGCTGTCCGGCCCTCCGCCTCCAGACCCGGGACCATCCGCACTGAGCAGCAGCAGACAGATGAAGCGCACACGAGAGCACCCGCAAGAGAAGGGAAGGTGAAGGGAACGCCTCCTGGAGAAGAGAGAGAGAGGAGAGAGGAAGAGAGGAGAACAGCGCCACGACGCGGACACAACAGGTATAGCCATTTATAAACAATCTATCAACCTTTTTTTTTTTTGCTTCTAAACTGCGTGCGTGTATACTACTGTAGTATGGTCAGTGATGGGGAGTAACGGATTACATGTACCGCCGTTACGTAATCAGAGTACAAATTATGAGTAACTGTATACCGTTACAGTTACTGTTTCAATGAGTGGTAATTGGATTACAGTTATTTTGCTGAAATAAGTGGATTACAAGGCGGTATTTTCCTGTTTTCACATTTTGTGCTACATCCCATTTATTTATTTTTTTATTTCGGTAATTCCACTCATTGCCGGAAACCCAAACAGAACGCGACAATAAGAGCGATGGAAACGTCATATTAAAGTTGGCGGTGTCAGTCACACAGTGGAAGCAGCAGTGCATTGATAAAAACGCATTTGTGTCTTGGAAATTCTTCTCCCCGATGTGATATATATATATATATATATATATATATATATATATATATATATATATATATATATATATATATATATATATATATATATATCAAATATAAAATCGCCTACAACTTAAATGTGAAACAGGAGCTACTGGCACCGGTGAAAACAACCTGCATAGACTCATAATATCTGCACTACTGTCCTATAGTGACTTGCCACATGAGTGGACGTGCACACAAACACACACAAACACAAACACACACCTTCATCATCGTCATCAACCTGACAACCCGCGGACCACGTCTCCTTCCGTAGTTACAGCGCGGACACCGCCGTCTCGTGCGCCGCGTGTGGACCGTGTTTTCTCGCGTAAACCGCGCTTCCTCCTGTGCGCCTCTAAACCAGAACTAATCCAGGACTAAACCAGGACTAATACAGGACTAAACCACGACTAACCCAGGACTGAACCAGGTTTAAACTAGGACTAAACCACGACTAAACCAGAACTAAAGACCTGGTCTAGACCTGGTCTAAACCAGGTCTAAAATCAAGAGTAAACCAGGTCTAAAAATCAGGACTAAACCAGGACTAAACCAGGTCTAAACAACATGACACCTAACAGTAGGTTGACATAATTTAAGGTGATCTCATATAAAAAATAATTTCTCTATCAATAATATTTTTTTAATCTGGTGAAGGAAAGGCTGATCTTGTTACTGTCTTTTAACAGACAAAACCTCTTATATTAAGATATCGTGGTCTTTGTTTCTCTACAGCAAACAGTTGTTTATTCATGGAGACTTGGGCTCAGACAATTTGAAGAGAACAAACAAGAATTTTCAGGATGTGGTTGCTACATTCATGTCGTTTAAAAAAACATGACAATATCAAGTAATCCAAAGTAATCAGATTACGTTACTCACTTTAAGTAATTTAATGGATTACGTTACAAACTACATTTTGGGGTGTGTAATCTGTAATCTGTAGGGGAATACATTTTAAAAGTAACCTTCCCAACACTGAGTATGGTATAGCACTATCTATTATTCCCAATAATTTCTGTCAGCCTTAATGCAAATTAGATAAATTTGCATTCAAAAATATATTATGGAAAGCTTTTTGTTTTGTTGAAAAAAAAAAAAAAAAAAGAGAAAAATATCTCGGCAGACATCATGGATTGATTTCCTGACTAGCCTGATTCATCAGCCGGTTTCACTTCGTGGAAACCGTCTGACCTCCAGCATTAGGATTCATTCGCTCGAAGGTAAGCAGGTACGATTTTATTTGACCAATTGCTGCTATTTGGTCGTGACTTATGTAATGCGCTAACAGGGCTAACTTGTATATTAAGCTTTTCCCAAATCCCGTAGGAAGAAGGGCAATAACGTCTTTCCCCTTGATAAAATTCACCAAACATTCTCTTTGTTCTGGCTTTAAATCCTCAATCTTGGGAATCGTTGACAACACAAAATGTATGACTCTTTGTTGATTTTTCAGGGTTTTTGCACAGGGGTGGGACCAAATTGTTGTTTTGCAAGTCTCAAGTAAGTCTCAAGTTTTTGACCTCAAGTCAAGGGCCTAAATCTGGGCCCCTAAGACTCTGGGGCTCGGAACAATAGACCCTTTTGTCCCTCCCTGTCGACACCCCTGCCCATAGGTGCTGCTGTGATCTGTCTCCATTTGGACGTGAGCTGAATAGATTGCCGCAGTGTAAGTGTCCTATGGGTGTCCTAGGTGGTCCTCTGACCTGTGGGTGAGCTGCCAGTGTGATTTATAAGCACAGGAAATGTATCGAGGTTAGAGATGTTTCTACACTATTTAAAGGTCAAAAGGCTAAAAATGTAATTGGCACAGTATACTGTACTAGCTCCCATAAAGTAAAATAAAAAAAATAGAACAGTTCTTAACTAATAATTGAGACTTGTGAACAACAGAATTAGTTCATTTTAAATGGTTTGTAGTGGTCTAAAGTTATTCCTCACTTACTTGATGAGTTCAGACCATCCTAATTATTCACAATGATGAGTTTATAAGTGCTCTGGCCAACTTTCAGAGGCCAGAGCAGAGAGGTTGCTCTCACGGTAAGGACCTGTTGTAAATACAAATTATGATGGAATTTATGAAGAAAAGGTGAAAAATATGTTGAAAATTGAAGGAAGTAGAGAGTTTTATTTTAGAGCTTTCCACATTGATGACATCACAGTAGGGTGAATTCTATTCAAAAATTAGTCACAATTACCTCAAATATAATTTCAACAAAATAAAGGTGTTTATACCGCATTTCTATTTGCAACTAATAATCTCTATGTATGTTACAGGAATTTTAGACTAGTATACTACATGGTTGCTTAATAACAGTTATAGAATTCCCTAGAGTGATGTCATGGTCTCCAACCAGGAAGTAAACTAAGCCAAAGATGTTCATTTTGTCTTTTTATGAACTTTAACATGTCACCACCACCACCCGTTACAGTTCTGAAGATGGCTTGCAGCTAGCAACCAAAACAGGTCAACAAGGTGAATACACTTTACTGTATTGTCTTTAAAAAGAACCTAGGAAGTTCAGGAAGTACAATTTTTAAACCAAAAAAATAAATAAATAAAATGGCCAAATTGGGATACAAAATTATACAATTGTTAGTAAAATCTTAAATGTAATGGTGTTAAGTGTGTTTTAGTAAAATTAGAAGTCCAAATAGATGGTTAGGAGAAAAACTTTCTGATAGAAAAGTTCTGCTCTTTTATGTATATTAAACTATACATTTTCAGAGGCAGTTCACTTCCCGGCTACTCTTAGCATTGCATTGCTTTGTAATACTAATAGGCCCTTCTCCAGGTACTCAGACTTCCATCCTTCCATGGGGTCATGGGGGCAGCAGGGACCTCCTTCACCCCGGACACTTCCTCCAGCTTTTCCTGGGGGACCCAACGCCTTTCCCAGGCCAGTCAAGAGACATAGTCCCTTCAGTGTGTCCTGGGTCTTCCTCAGGGCCTCCTTCCGGAGAGACGTGCCCAGAACACTTCCGGAGGGAGACATCCAGGAGGCATCTGGAACAGATGCCCAAAGCACCTCAGCTGCTCCTCTCGACGTGGAGGAGCAGCAGCTCTACATTAAGGGAGCACCCAGCCACCCTGCGGAAGAAACTCATTTTGACTCATTACCCAAAGCTCATGACCATAACTGAGGGTAGGAACGTAGACTGACGAGTAAATTGAGAGCGCTTGGGCCTAAAGTAAAATAAAATAAAATATAGCATAAGAAAGTTTCTGTCACTGCTATAACTATGTTGTGAAAAACATGGCATGGGTGTCACTGACTTTTTGGATCAGGATGCCAAAATGGATTTTGTGCACAGTTTCAGAAATACATGAAAAACGTTCTCCACATATTAAATTTGATCTCAATCTGTAGGGGGCGCTAATGTGCAAAATTAAAGTCTTTCACATCAAACAGCTTTAGGGCAGGGAGTTTAACAAATTATTACATTTTCATTGAAATCAGAGTTTGTGCAAATGGGAGCCATTTGTATAGATGCAAAATATCATACATTTTGTAAATTTTGTGTGAGTGTGTGTGTTTTTTGTTTTGTTTTGGGTTTTTTTTTTTTTTTTTGTTTTTTTTTCGATAATAATGTGGAGGAAAAAGTATACAAAACATAAACATTTACAAAGACTAGAACTTATAAAATGTTCCATTGTTGCCACATGTTGGCATATGACTCTAAATATATAAATAAGTAATAAATAAATAAGTACAATAAAAGCATTCAGCCTCTAGCAAAAAAAACAACAACAAAAAACACTGCACTAGACAGAGACCAATATAATTCTATGCAAAAAAAAAAAACTCACACAAAATCTATCTATCTATCTATCTATCTATCTATTTACAAACAACAAGCCCGTGTTTATCTACCTCAATATATCATGTTTGTTGTAATGATCAATGTAGTGAATACAGCTTAAACATATAGCACATTTGCTCTTGAAGTCAAGACTCGCTACTGGTCAAAGGAAGTGGAAAGTTCACTAAAAAGATTCAGCCCACACACGTACACATAAAGACCCACACAAAGGGGTTCATGTCTCTTTCTACTGCTGCTATTGTCACCAGACTCTCAGCTTAGACTCTCTCATATAAATATATTTAAACATCCTGAGGATGTACGCCTGGTTAACTGCATTCACTTTTCTTCTAGTGACTACCTTGTATTTGTCTTCAGCTGAAGACCAAGGTAAGATTTTAATAAGTTTGATTTATGTGATTTACAGCATTTTTCTTTTTATGTTTAACTGTTTACAAAAGTCAATTCTCCACTGGCAACCGCAATTTTAGTCAACATAAAAAACCTTGTATATTTAATTGTATATTTAATACAATTACAATTTAATTACAATAACATTCTTATAACAAAACATTATCTTACATGTTTAGTGAACCTTTGTACACCAAAACTATTAAGAAATTAACATTGGCATTAACAGGATAATTATTAAAACGTAAACAATATACAGTACCAGTCAAAAGTTCTCATTTAGTGATTTTTTTCTGTATTTGTACAACTTTCTACATTTTAGATACATACGGAAGATATCAGATATATGAAGCAAGATATATGGAATTATGTAGTAAACAAAAAAGTTAAATAACTTTACTAAATATTTTTCAACAAAGCAAATACATTAGTACAGTTATTATATACAACATTTTTTTCTTTCCTACATAATCCATGTATATAATTTCATATATCTTGCTTCATATATTTGATGTCATCCGTATGTATAAAAAATGTAGAAAGTAGTTAAAATAAAAAACACTGAATGAGATTGTGTGTCCAAATTGTATTTGTATTGTCCCAAATAAGACAAAACAAAAAGTAAAAAACAACTGTGAGTGCACAAATGGTTTTGACCTTTACTGCGGCAATCAACCGGCACTGGGTTTGCAAGTGCTTTGGTGGTTAAAGTCACCAAATTATTATGTAATTTGAAAATAATGAAGGTCAAAAGACATGAGCCAACCAAACACAGCTGAATTTAAAGTGAAAAATTCAACGTTTAAAAAATAATCAAGAAAAACAAAACATGTGATTTTACAGATCTAAATATAGTGCATTGCTTATCACACAGTTACAGTAAAAGCAGCCATTCTCGCTCGAATTCTGAGTGTTTTGCCATTTGGAGATATCCTCTTCGATCTCAACTGTCAAAACACTTTCATCTCTGTTATCTGTACGCTTTATTTTATGAACAAGAAATACTACAGCGAAAGAAAAAAAGCTGCTGTTTTGCGGCCCGTATATTGTCTATATTGTCAATATTCAGATGATTTTATCCGTCAGAAATGTGATAAACATGTCTACAAATGTCATGGTTGAGGCACAAATAGTGAATGCACTGTATAATTAAACAGAAAAGTGTAGAAATGTTACTTTAAAAGATAAGATGTAGATATACATACTAATGAATTCTCAGCATTTAACCCATCCTATAACCAGTGGGCAACATATCAGGTGGAGGATTTTTATCTATATTGCTATTCTGGGTTTAAACTGCTTTTTACCTGGTCCCCGAAGGGTTGACCAGGTTTTGTTTTCACCTTGTGTGTCTCTGTGTCTGTGTCTGTCCACCCATGATAATTCCGTCATTTATAGACCAATTGTCACCAAATTTGGTACATGGGTCAAGCCCCCGTGCCTGATGCTGCAAAAAAAAAAGTTTGGTGACGATCTGAGGTAATTTGAGGCCACACGGGTCAATTGAAAGGTTACACCATTATAAAGGATAGGCAATTTTAGCAATTTCTGAACCATCTGCGGTCTAAAATATTCACCCAATCATCACACAAGTTGGCACACAAATATCAGTGCTATACTGAATGTTACTGGTTTAAACTGGTTAAGGTCACTTGAAGGTCAGTGTAACCAAGGTCAAATATGCGTTTTTGGTCATAACTCCGCCAAGGATGGAGCTAGAGCAACGGGAGTGGTCTCAAACTCTCAGAAAAAATATTATCTATGTATAATTCTATGCATTTGTATAGTAAAATATTAATAGTTTTCCAGATAATCACTAATTATAACAGTTCCTTTCTCTTTCGGTGTTGCTGTTAAAATTCTAATCGGAACAAAAATAATTTCCATTTCTTCTTTTTCTGGTGATACACAACACACTGATCTACAGTCACACAACTAACAGAAACACAACTCATGACAAAATTACATTTTCGTTAAGTAAACACAGACATTCTCATGTGTAACAATATCACCCAAATGTTCATGGGCCTGTACAGATACACACATTGCATTGTGGATATAACGATCATGTAATATGGGCTGGGCTCCTCATAAACTGCTTCTGTGGTGATGAACTGACCCCACCAATGCCTCATGGGGGACCAGGTTGCTATCTCTGATTGCGCTTGTTTACTATGCATTTCCAATCTGCTCTTATTTTTAAATATTTTCAATTATAGATGCTAAACTCAAAGTTCAAATTTTGTATATCATCAAAACAGCAATTTAGATTTTATTATTAATTTAAAAAATACTCTCCACCCCTATTAACACATTTGTGCTGAATCTCCAACCCAGTAGAGCCCCAAACCTGCGTGCAGCGGCTCTGCAAACTCTGTCTCGACTCTGTGAAGCAGAGTCATGTTTTTACCCACAGCATAAAATGACAAAATCCCTTCTCTGTGGTTCACATACACCCCAATTTTATCACATGGCGGCCCTGATATGAACATACGTGCCTTGTTATGTCTGAAATAGAAACTTTTATCGAAACAGTTGAGGGCCCATGATTTATTGTTGCTTCCGAAGGCGCTCTCGTCTCCTGTCCTCTGAACACTTTTGTACGAAACGGCAACGGTCGCACCACCTTTCCCGATATTAACCTCCCAGTAACTTCGCCCGGTTACGCTGTGCCTGCTCAAGACCTGTGAAAAGTCTAAAAACCTGTCCGGATGATTCGCGTAGCATTGCTTCTCCCGCACAACTGACGCTTTTCTGTTTCCGTCAGTTAGCAAAAGCCCGCCATTGACCGAACTTGGGTCTAGCGTCATCTGGAGCGAATATTGCATGAACTCTTCTCTGGTGTTGGGCTCCACTGCTGGTAGCAAAACATCAACATCAGGCACTTTTCGCAAGATTTTATCGCATTCTTCCGTTAGCATGTCTTGAAGTTTATCTCTCATTTCGGACAACGCTACTGTGATAGTTGTGAAGTATTTTAGCGAACTGGTATTTGCTGTTTTAGTTATAACGTCATCAAAAGGTGGAATTGTTTGAAATGCATTGAAGAATTGGCTGTAATTGTATACGTTTCCAATCTCGTCAAGCTCGGCATCTTTCTGACGCAATTCGATTATTTTCTCTTCCAGTTTTTCTTGGATTTTTTTGACCCGCTCAACCTCGAATTCTTGCTGACGTCTGATGTGTTCTTTCAACTGCAAACTCATTTTCTCAATAAACTGCACCACTTCTCCAAAGACATTCTCGCTATCTGACATGACAGTGTTTGCCGAGTCAACAATGGCAGCGATCTCATTGTTAAGCATCTCTATGTCCTTCTCTTTGCTCTCAACTTTTTGACGAACTTTTTCTTGAAGCAACCCAAGCTGGTCCAATTTCTTGGTCCGTTCTGTGGCAGCTGAGACAGTTTCGTGGGTCTTGTGTTCCTCGATGGAGCAAAGAAAGCAGATAACTTGCTGATCAGTGAGGCAGAACATCTTCAGATCCTCATTGTGATGTTGGCAGATACTTTGCGCTACACTTTTAGAAGGTGGGACAAGTTGGTGTTTCAAAAATGCAGGAGATTCATAATGAGGCTGTAGGTGGTGCTCGCAGTAAGAAGCACGGCACGCCAGGCAAGACTTGACTGATTTCAATCTATTTCCTTTACAAACGTCACAAGCTATATCTTCATCTGTAGCAAAACATTCAAAATCGTCAGTTGGAGCTGTCTGGAGTCTTGCCAGTTCTTCAACCAAAGCAGCAAATGTACCGCTGACAACTAGAGCAGGTCTTGGTTTGAATGCCTTTGCACAACTTGGACAGGTGTAGCCTTCTCCTTCCTCATTTTCATTCCAGTTCTTGTCGATACAGCCGAGACAAAAGCTATGGCCACAGGGAATAGTGGCAGGGTCTTTTAAAGTGTCCAAACACAAAGAACAGCGCAGTTTGTACAGCTGGATCTGTTGAAGCTCCATTTCTCCAGAAGTGAAAGTCAGGGGAGGAGGGAGTGGCTCATTCCAAACAATGAGTCATACAAGTCATGGGAAGTGTAATGATCATGACTTACAACAGAGCAGTGGTGGGAAGTACAAAAGTAAAAGATCTGAAGTGCACTTTTTAGGTATCTGTACTTTACTTATGTACATTTTAAAGGGGATACTTTTGACTTTTTCTTTTGAGAGTAGGTATCTGTACTTTCTACTACTCCACTACATTTTTTAACTGGACTGAAAAGTAAAAAGTACTTTCTTTATCTTTTTTGCGCATTCATGTGACATATAAAAATGTAGAAGTTGAATCAGTTGCCACTCTTGATTAAAAAGCAAGAATATTCTTTATAAAGGTCACATTTCACGCTTTAATAGCTATCAAATATCTATGCAAAATAATACTTAAAGCACGATTTTAAACATGTAATTCAATACTTTTACTTTAGTGCATTTTTAATTATAATATTTTTACTTTTCTTTTACTTGAGTGAAATAAGGCCAACAGCATTCTATCAAAATAGATTATCTGACAACAGGTTTATGTTGGATTTTTGGTTCAGCTGATATTATTCCACATTTCACTCTACTTTGTAAAATTCACTTTTTTTTTTTTTTTTTTTTTTTACTTGTAACAGAGCAGCTCTGCCAGTGTTAGAGACAGACAGACAAAAAGAGAGAAATTATCCAGGCATATAGTGCAAAATAGTGTAACAATATAATGTAACATTATCATTATCAATGTACCATATATACAGCTGTTCGTGCAGTCAGTGATGACTTGATGACTCAGTTCAGTAGTAACTTTATAGTGTAGAGAGTGAAGAGGAAAGGGGAGAGGACTGTCTCCTGTAGAACACTAGATTTGCTAACGATTTCTCAGACACACAGTTTTGTAGCCGTACTGTCGTCTTCCACTCAAGTAATCGACAATCCAAGACTCCGGAGGGGCACCCACCTGTATCACTGTCAGATTTTCAGCCATCAGAGTCAGTCTGATGGTGTCAACCACACATCAAATCATGTTGTTTCAGTCAAACAACATGATTTGATATCAGGACTTGCACAAATATATATATAGAGACCATCCCTAACTTACAAGTGTTAGTAGCCTTTGTGTAACATTTTGGTCTCTAATGTCCCACTTTTAACTTTTCCATTTCTTTGCAGATCCTTTACAAGTGCTGTATGGAAAATCCCACTTCACATCTCCTCCAGGATCTTCAGTCACACTCATCTGTCAGATCCTCTATGACTCAGAGCGGTGCAGTCAAGTCCATGCAGTCTGGTTTAACCAGTCTGAGTCTCCACTGATTGACCCAGAGAAGTATCTGACCATAGTGAATGAAACCATCCCTAAGAAGCACTGGAGACGCAGACAGGTTCTGACAGAGATATTAAACCTGAGCTCTAAGGATGAGGGTAGCTACCAGTGTCGGGGAACTGCTGTATGTGCCAAATCAGAGACTCTCATGGGACATCTTATCACTGTGACTGTAGCAAATAAGAAGTAAATCTGAATGTTGACCACTTCACTGTGCCACTTCATTTTATATCTGGGGGTAAATTTTAACATGTACAACGCATCACAATAAATGCTGTATTATTATTGTTATTATTATTATTGTGCTTCATTGTTGCTGCTGAAAACTACTTTCCTTTGGAATAAATAAAGTATCTATCTATCATTTATGTGAAATAAAATAAAGGCCAACAGGCAATACAGCATGCATTGTATCTCTTATATCTATGGGGCTGTTAAGAGATGATTTCATAACTGTACTATTATGCTGCTGCTGTGTAGTCTAGTTTTCCTATACAAATTTTCAGACATAACTTCATTAAATTATTTAAACTTATTTTAAAACAAATAATTTTATTAGAAAAATAGATAAATATAAATATATTTTTAAAAGCATGTACATCGACTGCTGCTTGGCCTGTATTAAACATCTGTATCAAAGTAAAACATTTTTGTTTATATGTGTCTTTATGTTTAAGACCATGTGGAACTAAAGTGTGATACAGAATGCACGTGCTAATGAGCAAGTACTATTTAAATGGTACTCTAAATGTTATAGTATTATATTATAATGTTATCTAAGAAGAGTAAATAAACCTGTCCATACAAGGGCTGCATCGGTTTCCTTTTTGTTATTGTTGCACCAACCAAACCACAGTACAGGAAAGAGAAGCCGTGGTCTCACATTTGAACAGATACAAGTCAATGCACAATCTCACAATCTACAGCCTGACTTCAGTTAAGTTACAATATATATACACTCCATCAAATAGATTATACTTCTCAATTACATTTGACATTGTCATTGTATCTAGCATGAATTAACATGAGAAACATTGATTGCCATCTTGCTTTGCCATTGATTATTTGGTTTGATGGAAAAATAAATATAACATTAAAGAATTTTAAATGTGTTTATTTAGTTTCAAGCATGAGTTAAAATAAAAGGCAGTTGCGTTTTAAGCTCCAATAATGCAAATTTAAAAAAAACAACAGTCCCCCTTAGTGGACAAATGTGGTATTGAACAGTGTTTTACAACTTGAAATGTTTGTATATGATTAATAATTTCTGCAAAGAACTACACAGCTGTTAAACAAAAATATAAATGTATCATCAAAAATTTAAATTGTAAAAAAAAATATATATATACACATAAAAGAATCTGAGTATATGACAGTAATTGTTAAAGAATCACATGGTCTGCTGATTATTTTTGGTAAATTTACTTTGTAGAAACACCCGGGGAACACAGAGCCCCTCCTTCTTATTAATGGTCTCTCTCAGGACATAGTCATTAGTGATTGACTGGAAGCCTGCACTCTCAAACAGCTCTGCCAGGAATTCTAGGAAAATATACAAAATATCTCAAATAATGCATATATACTAAACAATTTCTAAAAGCAGATAAATTAAACAGTATATAGCTGACCTTTTGAGAAGAAATAGGACCTGGTGCCATCTTGACGGACATAAAAGTTATCTCCAAGCTTGTTCCCAGCTTTAAATCTGAGCATAGCGTGATCATATAGACCATAGTCTCTAAACAAAACCACCCCCCCAGGCTTCACCACCTGAAAACACAAGTATAAAAAAAAAATCACATAGATTCAAATGCAATAAAATGTATTTTGAAAACACTTCTTCTGTGTGCATTCTTTTTACTTACCCTGCATATATTCTCTAATGCCTGCCTCATTTTGTCAGGATGGATCGCTGACAGGACAAAGATGAGAGTGATGACATCCACACTGTTCTCTGGGATGTGATCTCGGAGGTCATCTTTGGTTAGATCACACTGGAAGGCACAGCAGCGCTCAGGGCTGTACAGTGGGTTTTGCTTTAACAACACAAATAACAATAAAAGTTTGACATTTATTTTTAGTGAAAAAAATGGTCCGATAATGCTGTCTTAACTATAGTTTAACTACATAATAAAATGAAATTATCCTGTGTTTGTTTTACTGAGTTTTCATTACAGTTCCTAAAAGATGTGTAGAGACCAAATAGTCAGTTTATTATAAACATATCTTTTGGTAGTAATTTAGACTTGTTTAGGTCCTGGTTTATTTCAGTAGGTCCCGTCCATGTTGTACAATTTAATAATTTGATATTTCAGATGAAGGGAAGGGGTCTGTTTAACTCTATAGAAGAGTAACTGCTTTTAAAAGAGACATTTAAATTTATAATCCACAGAAGTTGACAGATCCGCAAATTCTACCATAGAAATCTCCACCTAACCAACATTCAAGAACACTGTGATGTTTAGGGAGCATAGCCAATTAGACAGAGTCTATGGCAAAAAAAATAGTAACATATTTGGTATTTGGACATACTCACTTTAACAAATTCTACAGCCCTTGGTGAGAAGTCACATGCATAAATATATACATTGAGGTCCTCTTCCAGGAGTGGAAAGATGCAGTTTCCTACACCACAGCCTGCTTCTAGTAGCACCAATTTCTGTGACTCGAACTGCAAAGAACAGCACAAAATAGTTGAACAGAGATATGAAGTAATATCCAAATACATTAACTCAGCATAAACAAAGCAAAGTAAAGAAAAATCCACAAAATGTTCCTACCTTTCTGCATGCTTTGAGCTCCTCAAATTCCCTTGTAGTCCAGTGCCTGTCTTTAAAGAAATTTGTCGTATTTCTCTTGTAAAATAAGTCCCAGTTTTTCTGTGCTTCTTTCTCCAGTTTCATCTGTTTAAAGTCTGACACCAAAATCTTGTCGTTGTGGAGAGTTTTTAACTCCTCTTCAGTCAAAACTCTGCCAGTGGGGGACACGGTTTGTGCAACAGCAAAGGGAGAGTCCGAGGTTTCCTGGGAAATTATCTCCGTTTCTGACTGCGCCATTTTAATTTCCAACATTAATCGTTAGTGTAAGTCGTGTGACATTAAAAGAAACACTTAGACACTCCGAAAAAAGCCGTCTATCAGAAAACTAAAGCTGAGAACTGAAAAATTTTGATACACTCGTGTTGACACCGCCATCTTGTCCGGTAACAAAATGGGTCCGTGTAGCAAAAAAGCCAGCAGATTTATTTTTTATCCCATTTCCTGAACAACATTGAAATAAATGTCACCACACTACTTACATAATAGTAAACATTGGATCTTAATTATTACCAAAACTATCATTGCGGTTGTAATAACAGACACGATTTTCGAAACATTTAATCAGTAGGACCATTGCGGAAAAGGCGTGCCCGAGTGACGTCTGTTGTTTTGCTAAAGGTTAGCAATCGGCTAACTGGGATCTAGTTTCTTTACAGAAGTTACTGGATGTTGCTTTGACTAGTTCGTATAAATGATTAGATTATCCGTGTGGATATAAATGCCGACATGAATGGGAGTACGAACCCGCTACTGGATAAAGAGGAACATGTTTTAAAGCTCGGGGAGAGCTTTGAGAAGAGGCCCAAATCTTCCTTTCACACAATCAGATGTGAGTGAGAGAGATACAGAGAGCACGGGCTTGCTTCTGGAGAAACTCAAACAGTTAGAGATGCAGAATGAATAAAATGCGTATTCATTATTATTATTATTATTTAATATGTGTGAAAGTCGCATGTGCAGATTAACTACGATATAACAATGTAATAAATATGCTATTGTGCCACATCAGAGTCACTTTTCTCATAATGATGCAAAATTAGGGTGAGTAGAATTTCAAAATAAAAAAAAACTGGGACATCCCCGTTTTTTTTGGCGGTTGATAATAATAAAATTGTGAAACGAGTGCGTAATTAAGGAAAATTCTTATGCAGAGACGATTCAAGACTAACATGTGTCAGTCTAGTCACATTTTCTTTGTGTTTTGGTTGTTTTTAAGCAGCTTTTCTGTATTTTACCTAAACAGATGACAATGTACGCCTCTCTTTACTGTTGGCAGATATATTATTTATTCAAAACCAGTGATTTGACCCAGTTTTATACAAGAAGTGTCCCTATTTTTGACCAATTTGATCTAAACCAGGACTAAACTAGGACTAAACCAGGGCTACATCAAGTCTAAACCAGGACTAAACAGGATTATCAAAATTTTTTACTAATCTCATCCCTGCCAACAGTAAAGAGGAGCATAAATTGTCATGTGCTGAGGAGCACAATCTTACGCTCTCACAATTGTAATACCAACCCGGGTGTATCCCAGTTTAGAATTTTAAAAATCTGGTCACCCTATATTACATACTACAACAACACAACTACAATTACTACTACAACTGAACTGCATAATACAGCCAATGTTTTTATACAACAGTACCTGTGTGCCACATCTACAAATTGTGTTATATAGGCTTGGAAATTGTTGTGAGGAATTACAATTTTATAATTACATTACATTTAAGCCTAAATCTCTGTAGTAAAGATTTATTTGAAATAAATAATTTTTACTTCTAAAATGTTCACCAACAGTTATTAATCATTTAGTTTTTGGTATTTTATATTGTGATCTTATATTGTGAATAACCGCAATTGATTGAGTTCTCATTTATTTTCTTATCCACTTATTGTTTATTAATGTCATTAATATTTCCACATTTCATAAGAAGTCACAGCAATATGGAAAAATCTGATTAAAAAAGTCTAATATTTGTGTTTGCAGATGATTTCAAGCCCGCTTCTATTGACACCAGCTGTGAGGGGGAGCTGCAGGTGGGAAAAGGAGATGAAGTGACCATAACGCTACCTCACATACCAGTAAGAGATACCTTCAGTCTATGCACTTTTCACATAGATTTTCTTACATTTAAAGGATATCTCTGTTGCTATATTGTTATGTCTCAATGTTCATCCTCAACTTGGTTTTTATGTCAGTGCTCTGTACCACTATTTTTTGTTTAATAATAATAATAAAATCTGTTCTTTTTTTTTTTAATCAAGTTCAAGGCTAACATTTTGTTGTGTTGTTGCAGGGATCTACTCCTCCCATGACAGTGTTCAAAGGGAACAAACGGCCCTATCAGAAAGATTGTGTCCTCATCATAAACCATGACACTGGAGAGTTTGTGCTGGAGAAGCTCAGCAGCAGCATCCAGGTCAAGAAAACAAGGTACAGGCATTGGGAGTACAGCTATAATATTTGCCTTTGCTTCTGCATATATGTTTGACAAGTTCTATAATAGCTAACTATTTTATAACTATTTATACAGTTGATGCACAGTAGGTATTAGGAAATAAAAACATACAGTAGATTAATTATAGAATCTAAACTTACTTCTGAAGTGACTTAGTTTAAGAAGACAGCGTTCTTCTACTGAACCTTCCTTCAGGGCTTGGTTAGTGACTGTGACTATCTTTGTTTTTTTTTAAGGTGCACTGTGTAACTTTTCTAGTGCAGGGTCCACTCTTGGACTCACTCATGGAGATTTTATTGCTTTACCCAGAATCTTCCACAGTATAACATTACACTTATCTATCATACATTTATTCTCCACAGATCTCATACATAACATGGCCTGACAGCATCACTTAATTGTCCATGGAGATAGATACATTTAATGCCATACTGTGGAACATTTCAGGCAAATGGTAAAGCATCTTGATGAAGATAATTAGATGGTGGACCCCTCACCAAGAAAATTGTTAGTCAAATTCAAATTGTGTTTTAACTTCAGCCAGGGTTCAAGTTTGATCCTGCTATTCTGAAGGACTAGTGCCCAGACCTACACTGAAACACATATGAAGTGCATGTCTGAGTAATAACTCATCCAGTCGTCCAGTTCAATTTCTCTTGCAAAATAAGGAACAGCTTTTTAGAATATGTAACTAATATGTAACTAATAATAGATAGTCCTTACTGTAAATGAGTAGGGTGTGTCTAGTCCCTCCCTTCAAAGAGATATTTATGTCCCTCACCAAAGCTGCACTGGAACCGAAGAAGCCTCTTGGATGAGTGGCAAAATGGTCATCTTCTAAAAAAAAAAAAAGGGAAAAAAAGGTCCAATTAATTGAATTCAACCTTCAAATCTTAATAAGTTTATAAACAACATGGTGCAACATTAAGCAAAGATTAATAATATAAGCTATGATAACATAAAAATAAGGGCATGCATTCAAAAATAGATTTAGGAAAATAAATAGCTAATAGAAATAGAATTCTTTATACAATATACGGTAATGAAAATACTACTATCATTGAATATGTTACCTAAATGTTTCCTTAAACTTACCTGGATTTTCCTATATGAACACGTCTGTATGGAATGTCCCAATAATGACTGCACTGTGTGTGTTTCAGGGCTGAGGGCAGTAGTAAGATCCAGGCCAGGATTGAACAGCAGTCTGTGCGCTCCTCTCAGCCCAGCGCCCAGTTCAGAGCTCCGACCAAACCTGGAGCTGGGGTCAAGATGTCCCCGTCCCCGTCCAAAGACAACCCGTCCCCAGAACCACAGCTTGAAGACATCAAGAGAGGTGCCAGTTCTGTTTACTCAAAATGCATCAGCCTATATTTATTCATTCATTTAGTCACAACATTTCTACTTTGCACAATGTAAGTTCTCAATGAATTAGCAATTTTGTTCATTTATAAAAGCTAAAATCATATTAAGTAACATTTGGCAAATGTGAGACAGAGATATTCTCTAATTTGTCAGGGGGTTGATGTTGCTTCATAAACTGTAAATGGACATAGCTAACCGGCTAGTTTCAGTATTCCAAATAGAAGTGTTCATGGGGGCGCTTCCGGCTCAGTCACCTCTGGCTCTAATTGACTTTATAGTGGAACATTGTCGTCCCTCACTTTGTAACTGCTGTTGTGGGTCTAGTCAATTTGATCTTAAAATGTTCACTCTTAAATTATGTCCGTAAATAAATTCCTATTCCAAATATGGAACTCGACTTTGGAACTGAGCTTTGTACACTGTACAATATTAGAACAATTTAAAAGTGCAAATGACAGTTTGGTACAAAAACAGTTCTTATTTTAGTTTAGTTCTTGGTAGAATAATTCAGTCATCCATCAATGTGAGACAATATAGGTAAGAGGTGGTGTATTACCTTGACATGCTTTGGTAACTTCTGTCTTCATCAGGGGCATCTCGCGATGACTGGTGGTCTTAAAATGTTTGTATTAATGATCAGCCCCACAGACCTGTCAGATTTATCTCTTACCTATATAAAGCAGGGATGGTACAAATTGGAGAAAATTGTTACAAGATCCTGCACACAAGAGAAAAATTCCTGTGACACATTTTTTGTGCTACATTATACTTTGAGTGTTTACATTTGGACTGGACAAAAAAAGGTTACTTATTGGTGAGTTACATCTCTTATAGTTCCAAAGAGCAGTACTAGAATGGAAACAAAAATATGATATCAAATTAATGAAACATTGTGAGGCCAATACTGGACACTGAATAGTGAAATTTATATATTAGGAATTATTTTTAAAATCTTGTTTTGTCTTGTGGAAATTGTGTCTTGTCCCATCCCTAATGTTGCAAGATATAGATAGTCTGTTTCTAATCTATCTAGGTGTGTTTGTGTTTCAGAGCTGCGTGCAGAGGTGGAGGTGATTGAGCAGATGAGCAGCAGTGGCAGCAGTTCTTCAGACTCAGCCAGTGGTTCTGGGAGTGACAATGACAGCTCCAGCAGTGACGGAGAACACAACCCCCCCAGACCTCCTCCAGTCAGCCACACCTCCCCCCCACGCCCCCTGGTGGCCAATGGGCAGGGCAACAACCAGCTCATCAACACACTCCGTAAGAAATACACACTCACACACACAAATATTATGTTTCATGCTTTTGGAAACATTACATAGAGTTTCCAGGAGACTGATCTTAACCATAATGACTACTTGCCATAACATAACTTTAAATGAACCCATATCTTGGCTTAGATTTCTAATGACCAACAACATGGTTTTATGTCAGCTGGGAAAAAACACCTAAACTCCCACAACCACATTTCAGACAGGGCTACAAAACCGGGCAGTACCTGGAGGACTAAAGGGGAGAGTGAAGGAGGAAGAATGGCAAGGAGAAAATTCAGTTTGTCGACTGGACAAAAGTTAGTTTTTGTCCAGTCGACAAACTGAATTTTCTCCTCTCCATGGATTCTACCTGGACGACTGAGGGATTCTTCACACAAGGGGGAGGAATGATGGGATCTGGAGGTATAAGGAACAGTGTGATTGGTCTAACAGATATCAACACTTCAAACTCCGCCCCTGCAGCTAGTTGTTTACAGTGAGGCTTTAGTTGTTTACATGGTTTTAATCAGGACAGTCCTGTGTGATGTCATGTAGTACTTGATATAGTACTTGATGGTTGGTTTAGACAGTTTTTCAAAACAAAGCTGCAAATATACCTAGTTGGCACAGTAGATAATGCTATTAAAATGCCATATACAAAGTTTAGTCACAAAAAGTTGATTTAAGAGTTTAGTTCCACTTTATTTACTTCATGGAGACTAGACTTTTGGTTCCAAACATAGACTGTATATAAATGGACATAGCTAACCTTCTCCATCGACCCCGGCTCCAATTTAGTTTGTACTGAAAAAACGTCACCCCTCTCTGCAACTCCTGTTGTCTCGCTCTTCACTCTGGTCTGAAAATGTTCGTATTAACCCGCTCAACATGATCCTGCTGTTTTTATTTCACTATTTTGTCTGTTTAAAAAAAATCCTATTCCTAAATTGGAACTGGCTTCAAATTTGCCCCTATAACCCATAGCCTTGCTGAGCTTCATTTGACTAGAGCCCAACGCTATGATTGAAACCACACTCTCTTAGTCCACTTCTTTACACAGTTTGTGGTTCCAACACTGTACAAGATCCTCATCGTATGGTTTCTTAAGTATGTTTTCTTTTTGTTTTAGGAAACGATCTTCAGCTGAGTGAGTCCGGTAGTGACAGTGATGACGACTGACCTCTGACCCCCTCTGTACCTCCCTGGGGCGTGTATCTTTATTAGATGTATATTTTTATTCTCACAGATGAGCGTATGGTTTGAGATATTAAAGTATTTTAGTGCACTTGTATATTTTCAGTACTTAGAGCAGCTAGTTTATTTTTTATCCATATCATATATTTTGTGTTTCTGAAATGGCGAAAAAGAGATTATTGGAAGCTGTTAGCCTTAGATGTTTACAATAGATGAGACACAATACACACAGACTTGTGTAGGCTTGTTTTGACAGGACCTGTAGCCCAACTGCTTTGTCAATATTTAATACTCTTTTACAATCCTGGAAAAAGCTGAATTTTATGCTTAATGCCATGGATTATGAAGATATTATTATTCTAATTATTATTTAGAATGTAATGAAATACATTAAACTACAATTTGATACACAGTTTAAAATTTGATGCAAGAAATATGGGACGAAATATGCTAACTATACTATAATGACAGGTTTTTAAGTATTTATTTTTAGCCCTTGTAAACATTATGGTTGCTGTTTTATGGAATTACCTCTAAGCTTGTCACATCCGTTGCCTATGTCCAAACAGGAAGTAACCTTATAAACTTCACCAAAGTTAAAAGTACAAAAAAACTAGACAAGAATCTTAATAAAGTATGAGATATAGCGACGTTAACGATGTTTTAATGAAGTGATTAGTATGTCATATGCACTTAAAGTCAAAATGTAAAAATACTTTACAAATCAACATATAACGATCATATTACAGTTGGTTTTCTTTCTGTGGCCGTAATCCTCTTGAAGCTGGAATAAGCTATTTGAGTCAATGTGAACAAACGGTTGAATGTATGACGTTTTAATCTACAGTATCAAATGTCTCTGTAATCTCCTCTAATGCACTGTCACAGATACACACTCACAACGGTTACTTTTACATCAGTATGTCAAGATCGTGGTGAGATATGCCCCTCCTCTGAGTTCTGACCTGAATGTACGGCTTTTTGAAAAACGATTAAAGAGATGGAAGGTAGACATTGCACTAAATAGCAGTGGTGGAATAAGTACTCAATTGTATTACGTAAGTAAAAGTACAGATACTGGAGCAAAAAAATACTAAAGGAAAAGGAGTAAAAGGAGTAAAAGTACCAATTTAAAAATGTACTTAAAGAGTGAAAAGTGTTTTGCGCAGAGTTGCAGATCTAAGAAAATATTCAAATTAATATTTGATCTGAATTTAGTTCAGCTAATAAATCAACAGTTTTTTCTTTGCCGTTTTTATTTTTTGTGTATTTTTGTCGCTCAAAAAACCAAAAAAAAAAAACTCAACCTTTTCAGCAGGTCTCAAACTATCATAAAAATACTTTTACTTTTCAATCCTGTTCAAAGATCTACATATTTCTGGAGTAGAAAGTACAAATACCTGCTCTAAAATGTAGTGACGTATAAGTAAAAAGCATCCACTGAAAAACATATGCAAGTAAAGTAAAGTTACCAGATTTACTTTTTTTTTTTTACTTTAGTACAGTACTTTACTACTTTTACTTTGTACATTCCACCACTGTAGTAGTAATATTAACATTGTAAAAGTCTGACAATATACGAATTTCGAAAAACTTTTACAAAAGTTCTGTCCACAACTCATGTAAATTCCATACACAATTGTTATTAAAGGTGCACTGTGCTACTTTTCTAGTGGGGGGGGGTCCATGTGCTTGTCACCATGGAGATGTTATTGCTTTGGCTGGATAGAATGTTCCACAGCATGACATTAAAATAACTGATGGCACCACCTGCTTGTCTCCATGGAGTTTAATATCGTACTGGGGAACATTGTAGGCAAAGCAATAACTTTCAAATTGGCCCTTGATAGAAAATGTTTTTATGTCTTTCTTTGATTATTACATTATTATTATTACACATCACCACCATCTTGAACTGAATGCGGTACAAGACCAAAGAACATTGTCTCACCAGTATAAATATATATGACTACCATCTGACCTGTTTTTATCACGTGTTCTACTCTGCATGTTGGGTTCTTTCTGTCTGTAATATCGACCTCCACTTTTTATAACTACAGGTATTTCTTTTGACAACCATCGTATTACGTGTCACCATAAGCTAAATTTAGTTTGTTTTTTTTATCAGGTAAAAGTAGGTCCATGTTTTACTGTGTTGTCATAAATGTTATAAGGTTTACTGTTTTGAACTCTTTGTGTGGTGTGGAGTTTTGTCTTTAGTTGATCAGTGGGAGCTGTTTTTACAAGCTGAAGTGAATTAAAGTGTGTAAAACTTTGTATGTCTTTTTATGCTTATTTATTATGTTATTTAGAGTTAGTTTAAAGGTGCATTGTGTAACTTTTCTCTTGGGTGGTTTGTCACTTGATTTTCTCTATAGAGGTGTTATTACTTTGTCTGGAATGTTTCACAGTATGGCATTAAACCTTTCTATCTTCATGGAGACCAAAACCAGGCCAAGTTACAAGTCAGATCTGTGGAGGGGCGACCCAGCTCACAGTTAGAATGCCTGTTTTATAGGTATTTTTGAGCAATAAAAACATCTGTAATTGAATAAATGTAAGGTAGAGCTGTTTAATGTCATACTGTGGAACATTTCAAGCAGAGCAATGACATTTCCATAGAAACAAGGTAATGGAACCCCTATCAAAAAGTTACATAGTTCACCTTTAAGTAATATAAGAAAAAACAGATACACTAGATTGCATTGTATGTATTGAAACGCTCGCCATAGTTGGACAGTTCAAATATAAAACTATTTAAAAATAATTTTTGAGTGTTTAAACCTCCAGTTACCTCTAGGTGGCAGTGTTGGCTCAAAATTCAGTAGGTTGGGTTAATGAGCCGTCACATCATTCTACAATTTCAATAGTTTAAAGGTGCATCCACTAGGTAACTTTTCTGATGGAAGGTCTGTCACCTGCTTGTTTCTATGGATATGTCATTGCTCTGCCTGGAATGTTCCACCGTATGACATTAAACAGCTCTACGTTTCGTTTATTCAATTACAGGTGGTTTTATAGCTCAAAAATACAGAGAAAAACATGCATTCTGACTGTAAGTGGGGTTGCCTCTTCACAGATCTGACCTGTAACCTCATTTGGTCTCCATGAAGATAGAAAGGTTTAATGTCATACTGTGAAACATTCCAGCCAAAGCTATCGCAGCTACACGAAGAAAAGCATTTGACCAGAAAAGCTGGAGGACAGGTCAGAGTTCTGTGGTGGAATTTGCTGTTTAACTGTCATTTTTCAGATTTGTTAACCCGGTTTATTGTTAATATATCTGTTATTATTGAGCTTATCTACATGAAGCAAATGTGGCACAAACTTCAACATCCTCTCTATCAAGATTACTAAACAAAAGTGATATTTTTCCACAATGGATTCCAGAGGTGGTGCCATTATTATTATGATTATGATTGTTGTCAGTTGGATTTAAGACATGAGCTTAATGTGAAAAGTTTGTAAATCCTGCATAGGGTTCAATTGATACTTTGCAGCTGATGTCACCAACATTCCCTGGGTGTGTGATGCTAACTATAGGCACTGCGCTGTCTAAGGCTTTGTTAGACTTTAATCTGAGCTTTACTTTAACACAATCTGACCACAAAGAACTGACTTAGCTGGAACTACAACAGGTGAGCAGATTTTGGACTGTTACACAAGTCCCTCTCACATACTTATAATTACAGGCAACATTAGCCAGTGGTGGATGAAGTACTCAGTTTGGTTACTTAAGTAAAAATACAGATACAGGGGCAAAAGATTACTCAAGTAAAAGTATTATGTGAAAACCTACTTACGTACCTACTGAAGCACCTGTTAAAAACTGATGAGTATTTTGCAGAGATTTTTAGAACTATTAAAGCAGACATGTCAAACTCAGGCCCAGGGGCCAAATTTGGCCTGTGATATACTTATATTTGGACTCCGAGATCATATCAAATATGTATTAGAGCTGCCCGCCGGCTACAGATAGGCTATAGAGACATTATTTACTTAAAATGTTATTATTTTATTGTTTATTATATGATGCTTGTTCTGGATTCGATGTTTAAACAAAACTATTATTAAACATTTATTTTAATAAGAAAAGGTTTAACATTACATATCTCAAAAGAAGATAAAACATGCAGATGTTGTTAACATTTTTTAATAAATGTTTATTTTGGCCTGCAACATAGTCCCAGTTTTTAATTTTGGGCCCTCTGTGAATTTGACTTTGACACCCCTGGATTAAAGCATCAAATGTAGTGTTTTTAATTCAACTGATATCTTAATTTTTCTATCAGTTGTTGTTGCGTATTTGGTTTGCTCAAAGTTGGGACGTTAACTCAAAATTAAATGTGATTAAAAAAATAAAATAAAAAAGTTTCAGCTTTTTCAGCAGGTCCCAAGCCATAAAAAGTACTTTTTATTTTTCAGCACAGATCTAAAATGTAGCAGAGTAGAAAGTACAGATACATGCTCTTAAATGTAGTGAAGTCAAAGGACCTAATACCTAAAAATTGTACTGAAGTATTGTGCTTAAAAAAACAAAAGAAGTTTTCAGATCTGTCTGAAAACCCAAGAAAAAAAAACAACTAAATGGATTCAGTTAGCATCACACCCCTGGGGAATATTTATTACATCTGCTGTATCAACTACAGATCTCCAATTCATTTTTAGCTTACGATCAACAACTTTGGTACTTCTTGTTTTACTTTACTCTTTATTCACCAAGCTTAATTTACTGATTTCGTTACCACAGCAACAACAAAAGACACAAGAACACAATTTGATAAAAAATGATGATTATATTGCTGGCCTTAATGAGTTGGAGTCAAGTGAGACAAATGCTTCCTCTTCTTCTTCTCTTCTCTTCTCTTCTCTTCTTCTTCTTCTTGTCAGGTCCCGTTTGGAGTGAGCAGATCTGTACACGCAGTAGACACTAAATACAGTACGATTTCCCTGCCATGACGTCACATTTGGGTCTTTCTCTTCAACAGTAACAAAACCACAAACACGGACATAAATAGCTTTTCTCTTTAAATCATGTCATTCAGGATTCTGGTTCTTACTACCAGGGTTGGGCGATATATCGAAAAATGGGCAATACTGAAATTGTTCTTCTGAAGATATGTAAAATTTATAGTATATTTGAGTATATTGTCTATAACTGAAAGAGTTAGATTAGCAGAAATGTCTAATGTAATGTCCAAAATGAGAGAATAAAGTGATTCTCTGGATTTATGTGGTTAATTTTATGGTCTATACATGTTTCATTTGATTCTTGATCCTCAATAATACAAGACAATTATAGGCACATTTTAGGTCATTTTGATGCTTTGTTAAAGGTGCACTATGTACATTTTTGGCTATGGCTCCATCACCTGCTTGTTTCTATCGATATGTCATTGCTCTGCCTGGGATGTTCCACAGTATGACTTTAAACAGCTCTACTTTACATTTGTTCAATTACAGGTGGTTTTACTGTTCAAAAATACCAAAAAAAAAACATTCTGACTGTGAGCAGGGTCGGCTCTCCACAGATCTGACCTGTAACTTGGTCTAGTTTTGTCTCCATGAAGAGAGAAAGGTTTAATATCATGCTGTGAAACATTTCAGACAAAGCAATAACATCTCCATGAAGAAAAATATTTGATGGACCCTCTACCAAAAGTTATACAATATGCCTTCAAAGAGGAGGTATTATGCAAAATCAACTTTTTGGAACTTTCCTCTCTGCGTGTTTGAGTAATCTAGCGACTTTTCCCAAGCCCTGTTTGAACCCTCCTTGCAGTCAGCTGTACAATTTTGTCCAATGCTCAGCCCATAAGCCTACGTCATTCATGCTCCCACACGAGTATTTTCCATAAACATAAAAAAGCATGTTACAAAACAATACACTACAACTTCACAAACCTGATGTGATGTGTAGTAGTGCATGGAGAGAAAACAAGGGGGGACTCACACAGTTAAAAAAGAAAGTGAAACTTGTTTAACATGTTATTAATTTGTTTTTAGTGAATATAGCATTTTCAAAACAATATAAGAGGATGATCTAAATATGGTATGTGTTAGCAGGTATCCCAGCAGTGGAAAACATAGAACCACGACGCGCAGCTATGTGGTGTACTTCCATGAAGTGCATAATACCTCCTCTTTAAACTGTGGTCAGAATATTGAGATAATGCAGCAAAAAAAAAAAAAAAAAAGAGATTCATTTTTGTCAATATCGCCCACCCCTGCTCACTACCACATATTATCCGCAATACAATATATAAATTAACAAGATCAACAACAAATAATAATAATAATATTAATAATAATAATAATTAGAACAATAAGGTCTGTCTTTCATATAAATCTTACTAGCTTACAGTTTGAAATGATGGGGCACTGATATGGTTCATATGAGGTTCTTTGCTAAAGTCACTGAGAGGCGCCAGTGTGGCTCAAACCAGAGTCCATGGGGGGGCGCTGTTTTCCTGAGGGTCCAATGCGCACGAATACAAAAGAGAGGCAGGCCACCGGAACGGCCCCTGAGTTGGCACCTGCAGCGAGTCGAGCCTTCATAACCTTTGCCCCAGAGGTCAAATGGTCACGCGGTGCTTATTTGAGAGGCGTCCAACGTCCCACTGTCCGCAGCAGTTGGTGGTAGCCTGGTTCCTGCCTCGTTTGGCCCCATGTGTGTAGCACTAGAGTCAGCCGCGTGCTCCGGCTCACAGGGGTCACCGGCCGGGGCACGAGGTGGGTCTGATGCAGCGTCCCTGGAACAGCACCAGGTTGGCGGGACAGTGGCACCCCGCGACGCACGGTTTGTGGCACGGGCCGATCTCGTTCCAGTTGTCGCAGGTTTTGGTGCAGCCCGGACCACACGTATCGTACACAGCTCCGTGTTTACACTGAGTGGCTGAGAGATGGAAATGGAGAAGAATCAGAGAAGTGCTACTGACAAACAAAAATTGACAAACGGAACTTGCTTTGGTGGTTTGGTGCAACATAAGACAGTGAATAATAATAGTTGACAGTTGAATAATAATGTTTAACCAAAGATGCAGTGGGAGGAAACTGTGTTATACTCCTTAGGAAAGGTCTGTTTGCTCATTATGCCTCTAGTTTAACGCTCACTGGACACTCTGGCCTTTTGCCTTTTGTATATATGATTTTTAGAGTGTATTTTAATTTAGTAAAATGTAACTGTAATGGGACTACATATGGAAAAAATCCTCTCACCGCCTCTAGTATATTTACATTGAAATGTTGAGTATGCACTAGCCAGGCTGGCGCCACCTACTGCCTCCGCTCAATTTCATTTCTCTCCAGTGACTAGGTCAGGAATCAGAATACACTAGACAGTTCTTAAAAAACCTGAAGAGGGAGTTTGGGCAGCAGCCAATCAGCAAAGAGCCATACATTCTGTGTTGGCAACGATTCCTGAGATCAAGGATTTAAAGCCGGAACAAAGGGAATGTTTGGTGAATTTTATCAAGGGGAAAGATGTTATTGCCCTTCTTCCTACGAAATTTGGGAAAATCTTAATATACCAGTTAACCCCATTAGAGGCGCATTACATACATCACGACCAAATAGCAGCGATTGGTTAAATGAAAAAAGTACCCGCCTACCGTTGAGAAAACAAATTCTAATACTGCAAGTCATGAAGTGAAACCAACTGATGAATCAGGCTAAGTATGCACCGTCCATGAAATAAATAAATAAATGATAAGACAACGCAGGTCTCACCACAGGTCACTAACATAAAATTCTTTTCAACTGACATTTCCTAAAATTCTGTAATAATAAAAATAATAATACTGGATATAATATAACATTGTAAAACTGCTAAATGTTTTTGATGTAGACTTACCGACACAGGCAGCGTCAGGCTTCCAGAGCACAGGGACCCCCTCCCTCTCACAGGCCCGACTGTACGCGATGAAAGACTCACAGTAACAGTTCTTATGGACTGGGCACTCACACATGTCTGTCACACACGACCTGCACATACAACATACACACATTATTATTATACTTATTCCACTTTATAATCATATTCATGTTCAGCAAACCTGGATGAATCACTCTGAAAACAACTTTGTCAGGATAAATAAGAAGAGAAAAACTATAACATGATAAAAATTTAGCTCAAGAGGTCTGCTTTAAGTACTGCGATATTATTGCAACATTTTAATATACTATTTGTTGTTTTTTTTAAGACAGTACATTTCTGTCAGATGGAGAACCTTGGGTGTTATCACGATATAATTATTATATTGTATTAGACAATATTACAATACTTTAATGATACATCACACAGCAGTACTAGAAAATAACTAAAATTCATTTAATTCATTCATACCTGTAGAATGGTGCAAAGTCCACCACTCGATGACACTTCTGGAACTCCCAGGACTTGATCTTCTGACACTCTCGGTGGGCCCTGAACTTGACTTTGACGCTGCCGGGACAGAGGAAGGAGGTGGGGCGTCGGGGTGGGTGCTGCTGGGTGCACACCTGGTTCCCCTCCACCCTCCAGGACTCTGCAAACTCGTCCACATCGAACTTGAACTGATTGTCTCCCCCCATGGTATCATCTCTCTTCTGACCGTTGTAGTTTCCACAGAGTCCACACAGACGCCCGCGCAGGTGAGGGGCGGCCACCACCTCCACGAAACTGTCCCCGTCCCAGGTGATCTCCAGACCTGTGCAGGGAGGGAAGGGCTTAAATACGCTGGAGAAGATAATCTGAAATGAATTGTCTTTTTTATTGTACAGTCTGTAGCATGTTTCATATTTCTAATTTCATAAACATGGCATAAGTATGACCCAGTTTAAACCTAAATGAACTCTGTCTGATCAGAATCAACACTATATTATATAACTTTTCTGGTGAAGAAGCCACCCGGTGCTTGTCTCCATGGAGATGCTTTGCTTTTTTACCTGGTCCCCAAAGGGTTGACCAGGTTTTGTATTCACCCTGTGTGTTTGTGTGTCTGTCCACCCGCAATAATTCCACCATTTATCTACCGATTGTCACCAAATTTGGTATGTGGGTCAAGACCCCGTGCCCAATGCTGCAAAAAAGTTTGATGACGATCCAAGGTCATTTGAGGTCACATGGGTCATTGAAAGGTGACGCCATTATAAAGGATAGGCAATTTCGGCAATTTCTGAACCATGTGCGGGCTAAAATATTCACCCAATCATCACACAAGTTGGCACACACCAGGTTGCTATCTCTGATTGTGCTTGTTATATCCGATTTTGACAACAATTATAATGTCAATTATTAATTCACAATAAAAAAAAATAAATAATAATAATATGATGTACAGTATTATGTTTACATTGTGTTGTTATGCTCAAGTAGTATCAATTGAGAGGCAGTGGAGTCTCAAATTTGTACGTAAAAAAAAAAACAGTTGTTATTATTATTTCTGTTCCAATGGTAAAACTGCACTGTTTGACTTATTTGCTGCCATTGTCATTACTGCTATTATAACGTCTCATTCTAAATCCTGACCTGCGATGGTGGTGAGCTTGAGCAGGTACCCGTCCAGGTCGATGTGGACCCCGGGGCCGTGGTAGGGCAGGGCGATGCGGGTCCCGTTCCTCCTCACGGTCAGGTGCTGATGGAGCCCCAGCACCAGCCCTGCCAGGCGCACCTCCACAGACTGAGTCCAGGAGAAGGAGCGCGTCCGCCGGGCATCGTTCTTCACCAACACCTGGGGACAGACACGGAGCTGGTGAGTGCTACACACAGGAATACAGTTGAAGATACTGATTGTTGTAGAAAACATCATTTATATCATTTTAAATTTGGGTGAAATTTTTAAATTTTTCTTCCTTGTTGGACACAGGGTGCAACTATGTCATGCATAGAGGTTCTAGAACAGGAGTGGGCAAACTACGGCTTGGGGCCCATATGTGGCCCTTTAATTTTTTAAATCCGGCCCACCGAACTTGAATACTACTAATAATAATAATTTTCAGTGTTATAAAAGTCAGTTCAGTAAGCAGTAACTACCTTGGGACTTGAAAAAAAGATTTTTTTTCTACATATCCCATGTTATTGTTTCTTTTTATGAGGTGGATTACTCCATCCATCTGCTCCTGGTCCGGCCCTTCCGTCAAATTTTAGAATGCTTTGCAGCCCACGAGTCAAAAAGTTTGCCCACCCCTGTTCTAAAACCTTGCATTTCAAAATTTTTGATTTTAGAAAGGATGTATCTTTTGATAAAGAAAAAAAGTTAATTAATGTTGCACTATTGTAGACAAGCTCAAATACATGAACATTGAAAAAAAAAAGTAAACTACAACGCCAACCCCAGTGCACCTTTCCCACAATCAGGGAATAATTTTGCTCCATAAGGACTGCCCTGGACAACCCTTCAATGAAAATAAACCAATTCAAAACAGTTGCATATGTTTTTCAACGTGATGGTAAAAGTATGTGGAGCTAATCGCAGTCTGGTACCGTGAAGCTGGAGTCGGGGCTGTTGATGTTGTTTGTGACCGCTCCGCTCCCACAGTCTCTGGTCAGAACATACTGACACGTCCCCTGGAAGTTAAAGGTCCTGCCATCGAAAGTGTTGTAATGAGGGTCTCCAAATACAGTGCACACGCCTGGCTCTGGTGAAAGAAAAAACACAATAATTTGAGATTTTAGTATCATGACAACACCACATCAGCATATCATGGTTTAAACCTAAAAAAAAAGAAAAGAAATAAATCAATTTTGAATAATGTGTCTTTTAATGGGCTTATATTACACTATTTTCTGATCATCATTCTCATCACAAACATACCTGGAGTTGTGTTTGGATTAGTTCTTTTGCTGAGTTCTTGTCTCAAACAGAAAACACTCCGTTCCACTTGGTGATGTCATGTGGTAATACAGAAGTGCTCCACTGTGTTTTGTTTTTAAACTCCACACACCTTCACTAGAATAATTCGGATAATTTCAGCCCTGGAATTGCCAATCTCTACTCAACTAGGTAAAGGGTAGTTGTTAACTTAAAAACTACCGCTTCATGACATCACAAGGTGGAACAGCATTTTGAGGTTTGGAGATGTAAACAGACTATAATAATATATGATCACTCAGACATATGTGAATGAAAATAAACACAACTCTGGGTATGTTTTGAGGAAGTAACAACATTCAAACACATCTAAAAGTTCATTAGAGTCAATTTTGCGTAATATTTAATGACCTTTAATGTATACACTGTGTATGTGGTCAAGCCAAGGTGTCTAATGTCATCTAATTCACAATAAAAAAAAATGAAATAAAACTGTAAAAGAAAAAAAAAAAAACTTCACCAGCTGTCAAAAAGCTGTTGTGATCCTTTGGTCTGAATAAACGCCGGGGTAAACAGTGGGATGAAACGTCAGCACTCAACTCAAATGTTATGACAAATTGGTAATACGAGGCTGGGGTTTGAATCATTCCAACCACCGAAGTTTACTGCGGTCAAAACTAGCTTTATCGTGAGCACATAAACTAACCACATGAAAACAGCCCTGGCGTTTGGTCTCGCTCCCAAAATACGGTACATTTACAGCTTACAATGACTGTTTGGGTCCATCAAGCAACTGTCATTTGAATTTAAATAGCCCCCGGTAAAAAAGCTCTGTCTTACTTGAGTATGGTTTATGGGAAATGTACAGATGTGAGTGAATGAGTGGAATAAATGTATGAATCATTTCGGTGTTTTCTTTTTTTTTCTCTCTCTCAAAGGCTCAGAAATTTAGTAATAAATATGTCAACAATTGCTGTAGTATGAAGGATATGCACGTAATAAAAAGAAACAGAAAAGAAATAGAAACAGACTGAAATAAAAGTCATGAAAATAAGACATCAAAACCCACTATTTTTTAACTTATAGGCCAATGTTATTCTAGAACAGGTGGCTCTTTCATCCTTCTGTTGTAGCTCCCTGTGGCTTTGAAAAATAAATAATGAGTATTTAATTACAATGTATTTTTATTTTAGTTTGTTCGTTATTAAATGTAATTAAAAAATTTGCAGATAGTGGTAATCTTGTAACATTCAAATAAAACGTTTTCTTTCTTTGTCGCTCAAAATATGCGTCAAAGTCGCTCATGTGTGATACCAGGCACAGATCTGCAACCCGGACTTACCTGCCCCAGTAGCATGATTTATTGAACTTTTTGACCCCTGGTAGGTAAATTATGGATTAATTTAAACATTTAATGCTATGTGGGCAGATTCATTTGCTTTAACGGCTGATGAGACTGGTACACTCCATAAAATGATGCTGGAACACAGAAGCAGACGGTGTTTTTGATTCACTGTGGGTGGACAATTTAAGTTTGGATTCTTATTTCCTATGAGGAGGACTCAGATATTCATTGAGTAATAATGTGTTTGATGCAGCTTTGCGCACATTTGTTTATGTTTAACAGAAATGAAACTATAAACCACATTGCTCATTTGTATAAACTATAAACTCTGAAAAAAACAGCTCACTCCTTGTGCTCGATACGGTTCAGCTTCTGTCAAACTAAAGGACATGACTCAGTGGAATATGTGCATTCTCTCTATGACAGAGGATGTGCTGCTGCTGATGAGTCTGTTCTGTGCTTCCATCTCATTGGAGTCTCAGTCTTCATTCAGTCTTCTATCTCATTGGAGATGGTTCATGTGAAACAGACGTTGTAAGTCTGCAGGTCACACGCACAGACCATATATATGAATGGACATATATTCTCTGTAGCATTTCACTGATGTCATAAATGCAACACACTATAGTCTTTTGTACAGAGCAAACAGGTAAAAATGTATATGCAGTGTTATCCTCATTGTAGAGTCAAAAGAGTTGACTCTACAGACTCTACTCTACTCTCTCTAGAGTTTGCGGCTCTGGATGTAATTCTTTTCTGTGTGAAACTGTCCAAATGGCTAATGTTTTTAAGATTGCTGACCCCTGTTCTCGAAGCTTTATTTAAAAAAATATTCTAGCCATTAATTTGTTACAACATGTCAATTCAATCTTAAAGGACCTCTCAAAGTATTAGAGTTGAATATGTATCGAAAAGTATATCCAGCCTTCTGAAATAGTCTAAAAAGCACAGTTTTGCTTTCCACATATAACTAAAGATTGCCTCTTAAATAAGTGCAGTTAAACCCATGTGTGGTGCTTGGAGGACTTACTCACTTTCAGTGCAGACCGGACAGCAGCCCGTCCTGTTGAGGATCTTATTCTGTAACAGACAGGACACAGGGGTCAGATAGGCTTTCAGGGATTAAAGAAATAAATAAAAGATGCAGCGGAGCCCATGGAAAAGAAACAGAAGCCACAGACGCTCAATGGGCAGAGGCAAACACAAAGGCAACATCTGACACGAGACCTGACGTCAAAACTGCAGAGCATTCACAAGTTAAACACACCAGCACCACACAAAAGGCAAAGGCAAGTGGGATTAACAGAAGGAGCAACAGTGGGATTAGGGAGGACCACATACGATAGGCATGTCACCATAATTACTACATCAACTTCAGTAAACGAGGAATGGAACAATCATTTTTGACGATCAATATTTACTGTGGACAGATCGGTAACTATTAAAGTGCTGCCAATCAATTAGTCGACTAAAAAGAGGGTGTGGCAGAAGCAACTGTACACTATACTACAAATGTCCATGTATCTGATCATGCTAAAAAAGTACTAGGAAAACGTGTATTAATACTATATAACAACAAATCATTACTAAATTTCTGCTCCCATTTTATTCCATACGATCTACTTAAAATTCTTAGTCATCCAATAAAAATGTTGGTCAACTAAGACACTATCGACTGATATCATGTACACGCTTTTTATCCATATGGGCCGACAGTAGCTCAGTTGGGAGAGCATTTGTCCACCTATCTCAACATAAACATCATTGGCTGAGCAGTCAGGTTGGCTGGTGTGATTCCAGATCCCACAGATGAATGCTATTGTTGTGTCCTTGGGCAAGACACTTAACCCACCTCGGTGTATGAATGTGTGTGTGAATGGGTGAGTGGTTTCTTGTTGTAAAGCACTTTGAGCCTTGAAGGTGGAAAAGCGCTGTATAAAAATGTGACCATTTACCATATGGTTGAGCAAAATATGCCTTGCTCCAGTACAGATATATTGTATAAGCAGCTCATGAGGTCAAAATGTGATAGTGTTTATTTTAAGTCAGGGGTGTCAATCTCAAATTCACAGAGGGCTGAAATTAAAAACTAGGGCTAAGTTGTGGGCCAAACTAAATATTTACTGAAAAATTTCAACAACATCTGCATGTTTTCTCTTCTTTTGAGATATGTAATGTTACACCTTTTCTTATTAAAATAAATGTTTAATAATAGTTTTGCTTAAACACTGAATCCAGAAAAAAGCATAATATAAAATAATAACAGTGACACTGAAACTCTGCACTGGCCTCTGAAAGTTGTGAAAAAAGGAAATTATAAAAATGTCCATTATGTTCAATTAGCTGATGCGACTTGGACCTGGAAGTCAGATCCCACTTAACAAACTTATAATCACTCCTAATCGACTTTTCTGTTGTGCTCATTTGTGGTACGTAAATCTCCATAGTGGGAAGAAGCTGGACTTTCATAGCTCACGTGTGCATTAGGTCTAGTAGAGTGTGAGAAGGTTTTCACGGACAAATCCGGCAATCAAACTTACATATTCATCATATTTGACGTTGAATGTTAAACAAGCTAACCGAGCTAGCGTTACAATTGGCTGTATTGTGCTTTTGTTTGTGTCTGACAGATTTACAGTGGAGCGGAGAGGAGCACTCCAACAGCTGAAGCACCGTATGTAATGAGACACGCTGGATGAGTGTTTGTACAATATGTTTCAACTTCCATCAGACGAGCAGATCAGAAGGGCCATTCACACACAAGCGCGCACTGTGGCCCCGGGGAAGACACACACACACACACGAGCGCACTGTGGCCAACGGGGAAGTCACACACACACTCGTCTGTCATCGCGCATACATCCAAGGACCTCTCAGGAGCCCTAACCTCTGCACAAAGCCCACTTTCTCTTTGAAGACCATTGCCTTTTACCAGTCCAGCAACACACACACACACACACATACGCATACACACACACACACACACACACATACGCAGACCTACATACACATGCTCATGACATAGCCACACAGATTGGTTTTCAGGGGCCTAAATATAGGGGAGCTCTTCAGTGCCGTCAGTCAAACATCACACGGACAAAAGGCGGTCGGGAGACACACTGTCTGCAGCGGGACAAGAGGTGAGCGAGGGATGAACGCAGAGAGGAGAGGAAGAGGGGAGACAGAGGACAGACAGTGGCTCAGTGGTTAGAGGAGTGGACCACAACCCAAAAGTCGGAGGGTCAAGTCCCGCTCAGACCAAGCTCTCTCCTTAGGCAAGACACTTCACCCACATTTTCTAGTGTGTGTGTGTGTGTGTGTGTGTGTGTGTGTGTGTGTGTGTGTGTGTGCGTGTGAGTGATTGGTTGAGGTCAGAGGGACAGAGGAGAAGAAAGTGTCAACAACCTGCACTGTCAGCAACAAGTTCAAAGGAGTAACACAGCAGCAGTTTTAAGAAAGAATTGTTTAAGTTGAGAGTCCATTAGCATCCTGTAGAGGCTCTAATTTAAGATCGTGATAGTAGTGTATTAACCCAGTCTATATACCTCGTTTATTTTTTGGGATGACATGTCAATTATCTGCACAGGAATACAGATAGAAGCACAACTTAAGCTTTCAGCAGCAAGAACACATGGAGCCAATCCCAAAAACCTGGTTGTGATCACACTGCAAATTTCCCTGATCTGACCAAGATTTTAAAAGTTACATCAGGTTATTCATCTTGTTTCCAGATTTATTATCCACTCACTAATTCTGAATATGTTGTATAATCTTAAAAATGTTCACATTTTTTCCATAACTTAACTAGTCAGAAAATCTTAAATTTAGACAATAAATGTTTAAAAGAAACTACAATCCATTTACCATAGTTTTCCCCTGCAACACTTAAATTATTTTTAGATTTGCTTGATGCTCAAGTATGTTTATTGAAAATGTAACATCCATAAACTTATTTCCAGCCCATGAACACTTTTAATAATTAATTCTAATCTGGAGTTAGTTTATTTTAAGATATTTTGTCAAGTAAAATGATCTTGCTGCATGGACAGATAATTTCACTACTTTTAACTGATTTTCTGATAGATTTAAGTGTTTATATCTTAAATTTTGGCCAAGCTTTTTTGCAGTGCAAGCTAACACTCCCAAATTTTCTCTTCAAAACTGGCAAGAAATTAAAAGTTAGATGAAATCAATCAGAGCCATGTGATTCTTGTGAACACAATTTGACTGTAGAATGAGTTTGGCGATTGTTTATGGGCTAAAAACTGCATAGAAGAAGTCTGGATTTTTATCTATGACGCAACTATATGGACAATATACAAACTGAGTGCTCATAGGAGACAACTTTGAATTGAATGGATTAATGAAACAAGCATAAATGAAACAAAAATACAACTCCACGTATTTTTTTGATGAGGGGACAGCAATATAACCTAGTTAACAGATCAAAAAAGTAAAGTTCTGATAGTGTATGTTCTTTAATACACAGTTGTAGTGAAGTTTGGCCACACTGGACCACCTACACGGCTGTAACCTATGGGTGCTGACCACAGACGACAGGTGAGGGCTTGTAGTAGCCGGTGGAAGCGTGTGAACTTGGAGCTGATGGAGTGAGTGACCGCCAGTGACCGAAGCTATGCCAGGAATCCACTCCATCACCCACGGCGACAGATGACCCGAGCGTCACCCAAGAGTCGCCCGTCCGGTGTCACCCAGGGGACAGGTGAGGGAGAGCTCTGTGCAAAACAGACTCTCACCAAGTTCACTGTTACTAGAAAGTATTCCTTAAAGTGAATATGAGTTTAAGGCTAATGATTTTACAAAAAGTAGTTAAGGTGATTATATTTAAAGGCCCAACATTACGCAAAATTGACTGTTAGAATGCTGTTATCTCCTCAAAAACATACATGGAGTTGTGTTTTCTTTCATTCACACATGTTTGAGTAATCCTTCATTATTCTGTCTACATCTCCAAGGCTCAAAATGCCCTATTCCACCTTGTGATGTCATGTAGTAGTAGTTTTCAAGCAGCTACCTTTTATCTTTAGTTTAGTAGAGATTGGAAATTCCAGGGCTAATTCTGATTAAGTTTTTAACAGATATGAAACACAAAGACATAACAACAAGAATCAAAACTTAAATTACACAATAATAATGATTAGATGAACAAAACTAAATAACAACACCTTAACAACACGTTCATTTAGTTAAATTCATGTGTTTTTGCGTATAAATTATCCCTGCAATTTGGATGGAATTTTTAGTGTTGATGACATGCTACAGTTGGAGGTACTCTGTTTTAGAACTCACAGCCACTTCCTGTATTTTTTTTTTCTCCCACAAACTGCCAGTTCACTGATGTAAAAGTATGATACATATTTACCACAAGTACTACCCCACCAAACCAAGTAATAGTTAGAAAAACATAAAAATCAGTCATATGCACTTATTTTATCTCGCCATTTTTAACCATGGATTTCAGAGGGATAAAAAAAATAGCACCGTTGCCATAGCGATTAACCATGAAAAAATATTATATATGGATGGTACTATATATGGTAATGGAACTGCTTGTAATTATGGACGGCACAAAACACAATTCTGACATACAAAAGAAAAACACACTATTTCGTTGGCAGTTAAACTAAGAAAGATGGATGAGTTAATATTTATATGAGGACTGCGAAAAATTTAAAGGTGCATTGTGTAACTTTTCTGGTGAAGTATCTGCCAACTGTTTGTCTCCATGATAAATAATATAGCTTTGCTTGAATATTCCACAGTTTGGCATACAACTTTCTATCTCCATGGAAACAAGCAGGCAATGCCACCAGGCCGAATAAAAACGTGTATAATTGAATAAATATTTGATAGATACGTTTAATGCCATACTGGGGAACATTCTTGGCAACCCTAACCAGAGGTGGGACCAAGTCGTTGTTTTGCAAGTCTCAAGTAAGTCTCAAGTCTTTGACCTCAAGTCCGAGTCAAGTCCCAAGTCAAATACAGGCAAGTCCAAGCCAAGTCTCGAGTCGTTGGCCCATAAGTCCAAGTCAAGTCCAAGTCGTCTGCTTTGAGGTTCAAGTCATTTCAAGTCTTTAAACCAGAGTACCAAATATAGTTTAGATTTTTGCAATTTATGACTTTTACGATAAATTGTACTTATAAAGTCATAGTATATTTTCATGTGAGTATTTATAGAGTATATAAGAGTTGTAGAAATGCAAATATTTTTCTTTTTAAATGTCTTGACAAGATCTTAAAGTGAGTCATTACAGTCAGAATAGAGAGAATTCAGATTTAAAAGTGCTTCTCAAGTCTTCTCAAGTCACAGGCCTCAAGTCCGAGTTAAGTCCCACGTCACTGACCTTCAAATCCAAGTCGGGTCCCATGTCTTAGTCCATTTTATCAAGTCAAGTGTCAAGTCCTATAAACAGTGTTTCAAGTCTGACTCGAGTCCAAATCACGACTTGTAAGTCCCCATCTCTGACCCTAACCCAGGCAAAGAGATTACATGCAGTACTGTGACCTCAACCAGAAAAGTTGTGCAGTGCACCTTTAAGTATTCTAGTTGATCTGTTGATTTTGTGATAAGTTTCAAGTCTGTATTTTTGTCCCATTTCAGAATTAGAAAAAATAAACATGTAGCAGTATCTGTGAGTTGTGTGAAATTCTCCAGAAAAACAAGAGAAAAGTGCAGTATCCGAGTTGGAATAAGTCAGTTAGAGCATTCGTCATTGCAGTTACTGTGTTTTTCCCCTGAATCACTGAAAAAACTGTAGTTCCTTCAAATAACATTATCAAGATTTCGCAAAAACAGGAAAGCGTTGAGCCATAAAACTTCGTCACCAAATAAAACAGGCGTTATAAAGGTAAACTCATTTTGACAAAATAAGCAGTTACGTTTTTCCTTTGTACAGCAGAATTCCTTGTAGTTTTTTCTCAGCATAAAACAGACTTATACTTTGGATCAGACACAAGACAGTTTAGTACTTCAGCTACTGCTCATGAGTAAAACCAACAAGGCTGTTGGGCTCATGCTAATACTATTTTCCAGGTACAATACAGGACTTAAACCGTAATAAATCAGAGTTATGTCTTGTCATTTTGAGTCGTCACACAAATGAAGTGAATAATTTCATTAGTCACGGATGGTAAAGTCTGAGTGTCAGGCAGGTTGGGCATACAAAAAGCGATTAAGAATTCTGGAGATATTGGGCCTGGTCAGGAGTGATTGTGATTGGCTGGAGGGCCTGTCACTCACCGAAGGACAGCTGGTGATTGGCACACACTGTTTGGGGCGACACTCGATGTTTCCTTTGACACAAGCGCAGAGGGTGCAGTTCACAGAGGACCACATGTCTCCTTCCTGTAATTTGAGGAGAATTCACTGGTTAATTGTTTGTGATATGGCCAACTATTCAAACTGTTGTCCCAAATATAAGATCATTTTATATTTTGTTCAGTGTTTAGCAGAAAAAGGAGTAGGTTTCAAAATATACCATGCCTCACTGATTGTACTGTTGTTAACTGTTAAAGGTGCACTACCTAACTTTTCTGGTCCACTATGTTATTATGTACAGTACATTATCATAATAATATAATATTAAAAAACTTGTCTCCAAGAAGATGTGACTGATATCCTATTCTCCATGGAGACAAGCTGGTGACTGCACCTGATCAAGTTACAGGTCTGATCTGTGGACAGACTCACAGTAAGAAGGTTTTTCAAGGTAAAATTGATGTAAGTTTAATGCCAAACTATAATAATTATCTTGTCAAAGCCTCTCAAAGCGCTACACTGTCATCATTATTCATTCACATTTTCCTGGAGTGGTGGTAAACTACTGTTGTAGCCGCAGCTGTCCTGGGGCAGACTGACAGAAGCGAGTCTGCCAATCTGCACCATCAACCCCTCCAACCGCCATTAATCATTCGCGTGCACACCACTTTTAATTCTAGGCAATACAGCTTAAGGCAAGGCAAGTTTATTTATATAGCACAATTCGTACACAAAGTAATTCAAAGTGCTTTACAGAATAAGAAATACATTAATCATAATAAAAACAAATCAAAACATAAATAATCATAAAGATTAAAATATTAAAAGAGAGACATAAATTAGAGAGAAGAGTGTGGAATGAAAACCTTTCAGTTATATGCACAGTCAAACAGAAATGTTTTGAGCCTGGATTTAAAGCTTAAGTGTCTTGCCTAAGGGCACATCAACAGGACTTGGTGTGATACTGTGAAACATTCCAGGCAAAGCTATAACATCTCTATTGATACAAGCAGCTGACACGCTCCCACCCGAAAAGTTACATAGTGCACCTTTAAGATTTATCTCTAGCTGAGGGCTTTTATTATTTAAAAGCTATGAATAATTCAGTTTGAGATGAATGAACTCTGGAAACCAAAAGTGCTGCCAGAGAATTCCAGTATTTGTGTTGATTGTGTGCACTATAACAGAGTACTGATTTGTGAGTGCTTGTACAGTGCAGGCTGTTGTGTGCTCACCCTGTAGATCTTGTTGCGTACGCGGCAGTACTTGACCTCCTCCACTTTGACGTAGGAGAGGCACTCGTCACAGCAGCCCTCGCCCTGACAAGAGCCCGGCTTCGAGCAGCGCTTCCTGCAAACCACTGTGGAATCCTGGGAAAATACAGTAGGTACTGGATTATACTTGTGTCTGTCATCTATGGTGCAACATTAGAAATATCTAAGGTCAGACATACTTGATATTATTATCTTTATATTGCAGAAAAACTATACTGTATGTTTTATAGGTTTGAAACAATAATTATGATTTGATGTTATTATCATATTAACATTACAGTATGATCTCAACTGTCATTTCTGTAATTTTTTTTTTTTTTTTGCCATTGGAATAAGACATTGTAATTTAGACCTAGATTTTTACAGTTTTATATGTTGGTAAAGTCTAGGAAATAATCAATATAGCACAAAAAGAATACATTTTATATTGACCTAATATTGATCTATCACACTTTTGAATCCATAAACATTTTCAGTATTCATTTCATGAGAATAAACCACACAGATTTTTTGATATCTTTGCCATTTAAGACCAAAAATATCCCAATTTCTTCATCTTTAGACTGACTCTGTTTCAAACCACATGCTTTTACTGACAAGACTGACTGCAGATCTTGCCATTAAAATCTCCTACCATATCATCAGTCCAGTCCTGTTGCATACATTTATAATATTGCCACATAACTTTCACTTTCCCTGTCTTTAAAAGCCTTTGTCATTACCTTGCATGTGCAGGTGGTGCAGTTGTCATGTTGGAATGAAGTCCCGTTCTCATAAACTTCACTGTGAAACAAACAGCTTCCCAAAGACAAGTCAAACACCTTCCTCTGACCTGAAGAAATAAATAAATAAAGAAAACTACGATGAGATACAATGTGAAACCTTAAGTCAGTGAAGTATATTTGAGATGTGTGTATGACTCACCTACACAGCGGGGGCAGCACTGTCCAGGGGGGGTGTGGGTGAGATGGCTGGGGCAGGAGAGAACCGGACACACTTCCTTCATGCACAAAGTACGGCCTCCCTTCAACACCAAGGAAAGACAAACTGTTAAATAAAAAGAGCAAGATTCTACAAAATATATAGTAATTGGCTATTGAGCTGAAATAATTAATGAAATAAAACAAGGGCAACTGTGATACTGAGCAAGACAATATCAAAATTCACTTTGTACCAGAACTGGACAAAATGCAATTTCAAAGTTGGACAGGTGTTCAAAGCCCCTGTACTCAATTTTCTGTTTGAGCAAAATGCGCCTGTACAGAAATTTATTTAGGTCAAAAGAAGTCCGCTGTGTACTGTCTGACTGCATTTTATTATAAAGCATTTTATTTACCAATGGCAAAACCCACTCTGGACCCTGACAGTAGTGAAAAGAGTTTATAAACCTGTGGTGAATAATTAGGATGCTCAGAATGCATGAGGTAAGTGAGGAATAATTTTAGACCACTGCAAACCTTTTACTTTGAACTTGTTCTGTTTTTACATTTACATTTAAGACTGTAAAAATCAAGTACAGTGACTAGCCTATTAAGTGCTAAATACAGTGTACAGTAGCAATTAGTATTTACTAGTACAATTACAGAACAGGTAAAATAATTAGGTTATTAACTCTTAAAACATTCAGATAGACAATCTTACAATCTGTGACAGCTTGGGAAAAGTTTGCTGGATTTATTATTATTATTATACCTCCGACTAGCATTGTCATGATACTAAAAACTCAATTTTGATACTAAGGAATGGACTCGATACCCAATGCTGATTCTGATTAAAAACAAAATGAAACTCTCTTTACTTTACTTTCAACATTAGATAATAGTACTTTCTTTTATATTACCATGTGGCCTTATATCTATGTAATCCCTCATTTGTACAGGTATCTATTATCCAGGCTGGTGCCACCTAGTGCTTCCGCTCCACTTCATTTCTCTCCAGCGACTAGGTCAGGAATCGGAATACACTAGAGGGCTTGCAAGAACCCCAGAAGTTGTAGACTGCACACTGGCCAATCAGCAAAGAGCTGTGAAACCATGACATCAAACTCAAGCGCCTGTCTGGGTCCTTTTTGTGGTACAGCACAACAGTAAACAAAGCAGTCGAGATGGATGTAGACGAAGCTATACATTCTGTGTTGGCAACGATTCTTGAGATTGAGGAGTTAAAGCTGGAACACAGAGAATGTTTGGTGAATTTTATCAAGGGGAAAGACGTTATCGACATTTGGCGCATTACATACGTCACGGCCAAATAGAAGCGATTGGTTAAATTAAAAAAGTACCCGCCTACTGTCAAGCGAACAAATCCTAACAATGCAAGGTCAGACGGTTTCCACGAAGTGAAACCGGTGAATGAATCAGGCTAGATATCGACAATCTTATACAAGTTCATTCTAAAGCTATTCAGAAAATGTTCACTTCTGTCCTATTGATATGGCTTTTTTAGTATCGATACTTGTTGAGATGAGTATCTATTTTTGATACTATTGATAAGCATCTGATTTTTGACACTACTTCCTACTTCTAATGCAGCTTTAACCAAACTGAAAAATCATTATCTGAATACTGAAATAATCCAAGAAAACCCAAGGTAGTATTTAGTTGTATCAATGAGGCCCACCCGTATGACGAAGTTCGCTTTTGGCATTTTATCAAACTGGTACACAGCCTGTTATTTACTTGTTTACAACTTGTTTACTTTCTTCACACCATGATTACAGATTTCAGACATGAAAATATAAAAATAAAAATGTGGAATCATGTGCAGAGGTCTACCCGCTGCTATCCTTGGCAGATCATTTACAACTGTGATTCCAAATAACACTAATTTACCTTTACGACAAGAAAATACCATTACCATATAAAATCAAATACATTAAAACTGTATTATGCCTCTGTATGTAGTAAACCTCTCTATGTATTCCCACAGACTCTACCCTGTGTAGTTCCCACATCGGCCCGATCTGCGTCACTGGACCCGGGTCCTTATACTGCTGCCCATAACTTGTTAATAGCCTTACCTGGCTAGAGAGTGCGCTAGTGTGAATTTAGAAACTCGAGCTCAGCCAATCAGGGAAGAGGATGTTGTTGTAGCTAAACGTTTGTGGCTCCCGGGGGACCTCAGAACTGACTTATTATGGGGACAGAGGGGCCCCTGACTAATACAGAGGTGCGAGGGTAAACAGTGTTGATGTTGTGTTAATGTTCTGCCAGTCGGGCTGGAATAACAAGCTGGCACGGAGCTGCTAATAGGCTTTATGAGGTCTGTACGGTGAGAGGACTGGGCCAAAAAGGATTCATCAAAAGCATTTAGAGATGTGTGTTTTGCTGAATGCTAAGTGTTGTGTTGAGCTGAGATAATGGTGCATTGCGTAATGTTTCTGGTGGAGGGTACGCCAACCTGCTTGTCCCTATGTTATTGCTCTCCCTGAAATATTTTGTATAGAACTGAGACATGCAAAACCCATGATGTATCATTCATTTATTTTATTTTATTATACTTGCACAGAGTTGTGGTAAGTCTTAAGTGCAAGTCTAATATTTGTTTATCTTGATTTTTGAGTGCGTATTATTCTCTTGAGGTTCTTGATCTGTATATAACAACATGAGAATTTCTCATTTCATTGGTGGACAATTGACGGTTTACATTGCTATGTACAACACTTTGTAAACTGTCTAATTTATAAAATGGGCTGTACAAGTAAGGTTGGATAAAAGTTCTCTTATCTTAGATTTTTCATTAAGCTTCATGATTCCCATGGTTTGTGTTCAGCTAATATCTGATTCTATGTTTCAACATACTTGAATGTTTGGGTTTAGATTAAGGCTGGGCAACTGTTGTGGAATTTTGCACCCCCTGCATAGGCTGAGCAAGGACACCTCCAGTTCATTGATACCATTTCTCTGTGGTTAGCTCTGGTCTCATCCAACTATCACAGAATTTTTCCTTCTTAAACTTTATCAGTTCCTTGGTCAGCTTGTCTCACAGAATCCCCTCACTGTGCTCTTCTCATTTTTATCTCGGCAAGCATGTCTCCGAGCTGTCCTTCTTAGTTCCTATTTATACCTCCTTGTGAGGAAGCATAGTCAGGTTTGAATAGCCAATACTAACGTACAGTGTTGAGTATTCAAGTTCACCGGGTCCCGGACTGATGTAAATAAACTTCTCCTGCCTTGGACTCCAGAGTCTCTGCCTCTCTGTACAACTCTAGAACTTGTTAGGACAACACTTATTTTCCGTAACAGCAAGTCATGATTATGGTTAAGATCGGGATCAGTGTCCAGAAAATAAATGTAAGTCAATGTAATGCCCCAAGAAGTACAAAAATCCAACACACTAGAGTACAGTGTAACTCACAGTACAAGTACATCTGACACAGGGCTGACCCTCTGGACTGAACTCCTCCTTCTCTTTGTACAAGCGGCCCTCGAAGATACAACCTACACACAAACAAAACAAAAATGTTAGAAGGTCTGTTACTCAAGTTACACTTTAATCTGATCTTTATTTAACACAATCTGACCAGAAAGCTGATTTGGTTGGAGGTATAACAGGTTTGCAACAGTTTATGAAATAGGTACTCACTGGGGCAGGTAGGGCAGCATTTCTTTGGGTGGATCTTTGGGTTTTTACAGTGAACCACGCACTGCACCTCAGCCTCTGTCACCACTCCCTCCTGAAAGAACAACACAGAAACATGAGTTCATATTATAGATCCTATAAATATGTATTAACTCATACATTTAAAATTTTGGGATGGATGCAGACTTGTGGTCAGTACGGTGAGTTTTACCGATCAATGCCTATTACATAGTTTTGACAAAGCTGCCATAACTTCAGTAAGGCCTGGAATACAGATTGTAGGTCTGTATCTCACCAGAAACACTTGGCTCTAATAAGCGCAGTTCTTCTCGATGTCACCAACTACTTGAGACCCCTGAAGGCATCACAAACTTAGATGTAGATGTTTTTTGACAAGAAAGATGCATATTGACTTAGTTTGCCCTAAAGTTGCCAAAAAAAACCCTGATGTTTACTGACATTTCTACCCTGAAAATTCTAAATAGTTTCTTGTTTTTTATTATTAACACTTAAAAGTTAGTCAGTTAGTCACTGAAAATATGTTAGTCCATTTCAGACTTTTTGAATATTCTGACGAGATAAGCATTTAAAGGGTCTATATATGTAAAGCTGGTACACCCTTCAGGACTACTTCTTTTTTGCATATGCACTGATATTAGACTGTAACAGTATAGCAATGTAAAATTAATTTGAGCAGACAGTTACTTTTATAATTACCTTTACTTGTTTCCTTGTGTAATATATCACACCACTACTTTATACTTCTACTTCAGCGATGTTATTTTGTAGTAATGATACTCTTATTTAAATATAACTATTAATACAATACTATATAATACAACTTTTCTCTCTATACATTGAGCATTTCTGTTAAATCCACCCTAAACTAAACTAACCCAGTATTCTTCCCTCTAACCCCTCAGACAGTGAACTGAATAGACACAGCAGTGCAGTGACGTTAGCGCTAAAACAACATGTCCGCTCATATATCTGCTGATTGAGCGCCCGGCCGGGAGGAAATCGTACTACAGACCTGACAGCGCCGACTGATGCACGGTTTGGTGGGGGTGGTCCAGTGGTCAGTGCTGTTGTAAGATTTGCCGTCCAACATACAACCTGGAACACACACAAGGACAGGTTAGAATACTAGGACTAGGATTGGGATACATACTGTTTAATTGTGTGTAAAAAAATTGAAAATATCTCAAAAGTTTGTGCTGTTTCTGATTCTTGAATGGTGTGTACCACAAAATAGAATACTTATTGTATTACATGGTTATAAGTACATGTGGGATTATCATCATCATCAGCATGCTATATAGACCCATGCATACAGAATCCTCTAGAACTCTTCACACATTCCTTAATAAGTTAGGATTTCGTGACACTAGATCCACTCTAGATTATGTATAATATAAGAAATATAATGAGGGGACTGTGAATGTAGTGTATATTAAGTCTCAATGTAACAACATCAGACAATACCAGCATTAGTGATCGATTGTGATGTAAACATTATTGTGACCTTCACTGCAACACCATTATTGGTTATTAATTTAATAGTATATTTTATTAACATATTTACATTATATTATACATACACAATATTTCCTACAACATAAGCATAGCCAGACTGGACTGCACTAGACTGAACTGAACAACACAGTGTCTTGATGGTTCATGTCTCCAGGTCCCGTCCTCATGGTAAACAAACTTCTGTGTTAGAATTCAGCGTCATGTCCATAAACTGTATAAATAAATGGACATAGCTAATGCGCTAGCTGCCGCATTCCAAATAGGAAGTCCACATGCACTTCCAGCTCCTTCTGACCCTGGTTCCCACTGATTTACATTAGAATATTGTTACCCCTCTCTCTGTAACTGCTGTAGTGAGCCTTGCCATTTTGGTCTTAAAATTTTCGTATTAACCCACTCTACAAAATCCTTTTTTTTTTTCTTTTTTTTTTCCGCTATTCTATCAAAAAAAAAAAAAATCCTATTCATAATGTAGAGCATGGCTCCAAATTTGCCCCTGTAACCATTAAAATCATGAGCTTCATGCGAGTGGTGCTGAACGCTATGAGTGACGTCAGACTCGTTTCGTCAACTTTTTTTTTAATACAGTCTATGGTCATGGCCTCTTCTGGTATCAGGTCTGACAGTGCAGTCAACAATAAAGATTTACTGTTACTAAACCACTTTTGAGTTTGGAAGTAATTTACAGTATTATTTGCAATGTTCACGGTCCGGGTATTCTAGAGCAGTGTTTCCTAAACTTTTTTTTCTGGGGACCCATATTTTAAAAGTCAAAAACCTTCACAACCCAAGTCAATAGACATTATTCGTAAATCACAAAATAAAGGTGGATTTGACCATTACTGAACATTAATGAGGATATTTTTTGTATTTTGTTCACTGTGTGATCGTGTCTCTCTGAACATTTAACCAGCAATAAAAGTCACCTATTTGGACATTAAATGTAGCCCAATTCTTTTTGTTTTCAACATTCAATTGAACCAGCAATATTGGAACAAAATAGTCAATAAAATCATTTTTAAAAAAAGAATTTAAAAAATTATACAAAACGTCAGAACTGTATATTGCAGACCTTCATACAGATTGTGACAAGGCGACCCCCAAAAAATATCCTGGGAAACAATGTTCTACCATTATTATATCTTTACTTGACTTTACAAATAATACATATGTCTGCAGACACTGGGGGACAGGTGGATTAAGAGTTTTGCTCAAAGACACAACAACAGTCTTCACCTGGACAGGGTTTGAACTGCCAACCTATAGAGATCAGAGGATGAGCCACTGTTGCCCCAATAGTTTATAATTTATTCTCTGTCCACTTTGATCAGGCTCATCCTCCTTCCAGACAGGTGCTTCCTCTCTCATCTCCTCTCTCTTCTCTCCTGTCTCCTGTCTCCTCTCTCCTATCTCCTAGTCCCTACAGCTGTTCAGTGCTGCACACCCACCTCCGCAATAAACAAAACAGCCTATTCATTACGGGACATTTACAGTAAGTGGTCTCCAATCGAAGTTTCAACAAGCACACGGAGAAACCTGATCAGAGCCATCGACCGACCGACCGAATGTGGGGTGAGAGAGAGAGGGTAGGGGTGGGTTAGGGTGACACTGCTAGAAGAGAGAGAAGAGAGAGATAGGCAAAAGAGAGGAGGAGAGATGGAGGAAGACAGAAGAAACAAGAGGAGAGAGAAAGGAGAGGAAGAGTGAGGAAGAGGGGTCCAGCAGAGGGGAGAGGTGGTCCCTAAACAGATTGATCTTTTATCCTTCACTGGGGACTGTTTAAGATGACAACAAATCACCAGTGATCAAGCAAAAAGTATTCAATTGCTTCTCAAGTTCCTGCATATAGATATCCAGAGGTACAGTAGTTTATATTTAGCTATACGTTGCCAATGGACATATACTTCAAGGTACATTTTGTAACTTCGTCAAATGCTTTTCTCCATGGAAATTATATTACTTGGTTTGTAATATTTCACAGTGTGGTATTAAGCCTTTCTATCTTCATGGAGACCAAACCAGACCAAGTTATAGGGCAGATCTGTGGAGAGGCGACCCCACTCACAGTCAGAATGCTTGTTTTTCTAGATATTTTTGAGTTATAAAACCACCTGTAATTGAATAAATGTAAGGCGGAGCTGTTTAATGTCACACTGTGGAACATTCCTGACATTCTTCCTCTTGATCGGTCATCACCTCCACCAGAAAAGTTACACAATGCGCCTTTAAGACTTCAAATATATGAAGCAAAATGGTCGTTCATTTTAAACAGTTTGCAGCTTTCCAAAGTTATTCTGAGCATATTAATTATTTGTTGGTGAATTTAGCAACTTTCAGATGCCACAGCAGAGTTTTACCATCTCGAAAATGCTGATAACTAGCATGCCAACTGCGCACTTATTTATTCTCGGACACTAAAACGCTTATAATTAGATGTGCTCAGCAAACAGCCTGAAAACCTACTGTATGTATCTGTACTGAGGCAATACGTATGCAAAAAGTATAAAAGTGGAGTGCGCGTGAGTGATGATGGTGGTCGGAATAATGAATAATGTTCTGTAAAGCGTCTTTGAGTGTCCAGAAAAGTGCTGTATAATATTTATGCATTATTATTATTATTAAAACAAAACCTGCTGAAATACATGGGTATCGGGTACAGTCACTCCAACTTGAATTAACATTTATGTGATGCTCTCGTGCAAATTATATAAACTGCCACCCCCGTATGTCACTGACACAACAATAGCAGCTGTTTTTCCCCATAATCTCACTATTCAAATCCGGCCTAAACGTTTCACCAGCTATTCTCCTCCAGAACCCTTCACTCAGCACTATATTTTAATAAACTGCAAATTGCATCCAATAAAAAGAACCTTGGTGCAACTGTGAGACTATAAGCGTATGATTTTATGAGGGTGATATTATACTCAGGCATGGGAGGGGGCACCCAGGGGTCCTAACTGCGCCACAGTGTGACCGCACAATAGAAAAGCAGCAGTCTGGGGCTTTCCTGGTCCAAGTTTGAGCTCATTTAGCCGCGTACGGAGTGATAAAACGTGACCACATAGACTAAGCCCACACCCAGCGGTACATGGGTTATTATATTGTTGTGAAGGGCTGTTAGTGTGAACAGGCTCAGGGACACAGGGACAGTGCACGGGGTTCATAAAGATACTTTTATGTGTGTGGTGAGAGAGTGGAGAGTGAGGTCAGGAATTTAGATTTGGGAATTATTGAAAACAGTTTTTACAGAGACATGAAAACTTTATAGCAGCACATGTACTGACTGTATAGGCTTGCTTGTTAGCTCTTTTAGGCTATGTATGCCATATATAGTACCAATTTGTCAGCTTTGTTACCACCTGCAATGTTTTTTGACTTGCTTAATAGCCTAGATTGTGTAGCCAACGTATTCAGTTCGAGTAACCAACAAAAAATAATAAAACAAAAATACTATGGAGTGACTTTATGTATGTTCAATGCATTGAAAAATACATTATTATTCTTAATACTAAAGGTGCAGGGTGTAACTTTCATGATTGAGGGCCCGCTCCCATATTGTCCCCAAAGACTTGTCATTGCTTTATCTAGAATGTTCCACTGTACAGTATTGAACTTATCTACTTTGCAATTACCATAGTTTCCAGACCATTGAGCGCACCTGAATAAAAGCAGCATCAACTAAATTTTAAAAATGTTCATATATAGGCCGCACCTAAATATAAGCCGCAGGTGTCCACGTCTTCAAGTTCAGGCCATCTGCTTTTATCATCTTTTTGCACTGAGTCAGTTCGTCATGCTGCCATCGCCAAAATCTCACTATCAATTTACTGATGCCGAGCTCACGTGCAGCAGCTCGATTTACTTCTTCGACAGTCATATCAATTGCCGTTAACTTAAAAGCTGCATCTGCATTTCTTTGTGCGTTTTTCATGAGGAGGGTGTGTGCATGAAGCGCAAAATAACTGTTCAAAACACAATCAAATGAGCATTTTCCTCAGCGCATCACCCCTGTCTCTCCCCACGCTCTATTGTGCATGTCTCCTGCAAGAGCCTCTGTCCTGTCTGTATCGTGTCAGTGTCTTGGAGGACAGCAGATTTCAGGCTCTCTCTATCAGTTAGGTATGAGTGGATGTCCGGCTACAGAAGTTTGAAACGTTTCTTCTGTTCATTTAGCATCATAACTTATTTCATCACATGCCAATAAACGCTTTGAGTGCGCTGACAACATTGCTAGCTAGTGTAGCGTATATATGAACGGATAATGTGCCAAACAAAGAATTCGTCCATACATTTGCCGCATTGTTTTATGAGCCGCAGGGTTCAAAGTGTGAGAAAAAAGTAGCAGCTTATAGTCCGGAATTTACGATATTCAATTAGATGTCAGTTGCTTTAGAAATACATACATTTTTATTGTCACCACTCCACTGCTCTGACCTGTAACTTGACCTGCTTGCGTCACCTGCTTGTCTCAATGGATGGATGAACTTAAATAAGCTTAAATAGACATTTAGTGGTGTAGCTGACTGAGATGAATGAGGAGAGGAAAGATATTAGTTGTAGGACAGGAGCACCTTCTCTGTTCATTCTGGGTCTTTATGTTGTTCAAGGCATATGTCAACAAAAGCCCATTTAGTGGCTTACAATGGAATAGTGTGGAACATTCTAAACAAAGCTATAACATCTCCATGGAGACAAGCAGGTGGCAGACCGTCCACAAGAAAATTGAATCTTTAAGATCTGAATGTAGGGTAGACCTACTCTGAGAACTAGGAGCATGAGGGACAGAAGAGCTCATTCTCCAACAGGCTCCTACAGCTCCACTCAAACTCTGAAAGATACAGGCCTACTTCATATAATACTCCCTACAACTGTACAACAACTCACCCTTATGTAACAGATAATACTCCCTACAACTGTACAACAACTCACCTTCATGTAACAGATAATACTCCCTACAACTGTACAACAACTCACCTTTATGTAACAGATAATACTCCCTACAACTGTACAACAACTCACCTTCATGTAACAGATAATACTCCCTACAACTGTACAACAACTCACCCTTATGTAAAAGAGAATACTCCCTACAACTGTACAACAACTCACCCTTATGTAACAGATAATACTCCCTACAACTGTACAACAGCTCATAATTATGTAACAGATAATACTCCCTACAACTGTACAACAACTCACATTTATGTAATGAAAAGCCCTATGCCCTGTAAATCATCATTACCTATTTATTTTGCCTGCCTCTTGCTCTTTTTTGCAACTTATTTAGAATTTATTATTACCATTTATATTTTTTCTCTTTGTTATTATATCATATTGTGATGTGTGAGCTACTGTGTCCAAATCATTTCCCTTGTGGATCAATAAAGGTTGTCTAAGTCTAAGTCTAAGAACTTAAAATATTGTGCTATACAAATAGTGGTAAGCCATTTCCACTCCATCACAGCTTCCTTACAGCCTACTTAGAGGTAGACTAATGTGGATTATAAATAGCCTACATTATATTGCCATTTAAGAGAAAATAAATAGCTACCACTGCCTAAATATGACGCATACAGGAAGCTAAACATGCGTAGCTAATCTCTGAAAAATGTGTTTACGTTTTATATTTCACACTCGACTTGACATGATGAGTTTTTAGGATGTAAGCTCAAGTGAGGACCACAGAAGTCTAATCCTCTCCACGTTCGAGTCCTTTATGAGCCTGTAGCATTTTCCCACATGTTCTGAGCGGTGTTCCAGCAGCGGTAAGATGGCTGACAGACTCTCACCTTTACAGCGCTCACAGCAGGCTCCGGTCTGCTTCACCACCAGAGCACAGTCCTCGGACACAGCGGGGCACTTCTCCTGGGCACAGTCTGCTTTACCGTCCTAAAACACAACACAACACAAGCTTATACACGGCGGCTCTGTCTATGCACGTGTTTAGCTATTTAAAGCCTCAGTAATGATGCATATTTTGAGACATCCAGGCACAAAATATATCAAAGAGTAAAACTAAAACAGCTGGACTTACTTAGCTAAAAAACAGACTAAAATAAAAGCTTTTTTTTTTTTATGTTTTTATTGCACTGACATATAAAGAATAACATATGTCCTTACTCTGGGTGGGCTTGCCTCTCCACAAACCGGACACTTATTTGGCCTGGTTGGGGGCCTCCTACTTGCTTGTTTTCACGGACATATTGTTCCCTTGCTTGGCTATAAAATTCCACAGGATGTAGTTTGCAACACCACTTAAAGCTGCACTATGTAGCTTTTCAGATGGAGGGTCCAGTACCTGCTTATTGCCATGGAGATGATTGCGTTGCTGGATTGCATTACATTAAAATCTATCTATCTATCTTGAATTTAATATTTAATTAGGCTACAAGTGTTTATTATGTCTGAAAAAAATAAAACTAAATAAATTAAATCAGGCATTCTCACTGTAACTTGCTAGATGTCCCTGCTTGTCTCCATGGAGATAAATAAGCTTAATGCCACACTGTGGAACATTCGAGACCAGTGATAACATCTCCATCAACACTAATTATCGATGTTCTACCAGAAAATTTACTCAGTCCATCTTTAAATTTACAAATCAAATAGTTTTAAGCTGAACAACATCAGGTGAAGTTTGATCGATCAGCAAAAACAAAGCACATATAGGACTTCACACTATAGTTTTTTTTTCTCTCTCCTTCTTCCTCCTTTTCTCTCATTTGTTTCACACCCAGTTTTTACGACGCGTTTAATCCCTGGGCCATAGGACTTTACACACTGGAGCTTTATAAACTAAAGTCTGTCCCTGCGGCGGCTGCAGCTAGCCCCGATCAAAGTCTGAACCCGAAATAAATGCAGACTTTAATATAGAAACAAGGCCCGACCACGGAGGCCGGTGATGTCATGGGGAGGAGGCTGGGCACAGGAGGGGACACGGGGACCGGAGCAAGATGAAGTGGGGCACATTTGAGCTCAGTTTTCCGCTGCCATAACAAAATGAATCTGTGGTAGAGTGACCGGCGGCGTCGGGATACGGCCGTGACAGGGTTAGAAAATGTGGCCAGTCCAAATGACACGCACGACCGGGGGACTAGTTCTTGTTCTGTCATTTGGTTTGTGCAATTATTACGAAGACGTATACGGAAAAATGTCATGCTCGAATAACAATCATTAAAGCTGGATTTTCCTCCTATAAATGCACTCTCTAGCCATCGTCTTTTTGCCATTTCAAATACATGCGACAACCAAGCTTTGTCCAAAAATCCACCACATCAGCAGAATTCTTAGTCTGGGTGTTTTAAAGACTGTACTTGGCAATATTTTAAAGTATTTGGTACATGATCACACTCACCAGTGCACGCAGACACTGGGGGCAAGGTGGGAGAAGTGTCTTGCCCAAAAACACAACAAGAGTATTGGGTCAATGGATCTGAAACCAGTGATGTTTTATGTCAAGAGCACGATTCAAACCGATAACCTTTGGGTAAATGACGAATAAATTCTCATTCTTATTCTCTCCCTTTTCTTCACCACCACCTTTTTATTCATCCTCTCGTTTTATGACAAAAAACAATGTTCTGTCCAATTCAATGGTGGTTTCATGTTTCACAGCAAGACACCTTTCTGTGCTGAGTTTGCATGTTCTGCCTTTTTCTGTGTATATTTTCTTACAGGAAGTCTGGTTTCTCCCATCATCTAAAACATGCACCATAGGGAAATCAGCTGGAAAGTCTGTTCGTGGCAAGCGGGTAAGGAAATAATTAATATTTCTTCCCAAGTCAGCAGTTACAGATTCTATAGGACATGGGGAAAAATAATAAGATTTAAAATACGACTTCATAGTAAACTTCGGCGAGAAAATGAGGATTATATTGATGTAGTGGGTGGTACCACGGGGTGTCGCACATTTTAAATTGTTTTTAGATTATTAAAATTTATCGAGCCTGTCTGTTTTTTTTTGTAATTTTGGATTTTTGTGTTTTTACAGTTAGCTATTGTCCCTGCTGTCCTGTAGTTCTTCGTTGATTTTCCGGTCACTTCCCTTTTCCCGAACGTGTCCATTCATGTTAAATAAATAACATAAACTGCATCCCCGGCTCTGGACTGTTATTACCACGGCTATAACATTGATATACTGAAAAAATGTGTGCCGCTTCAGAAAGATCGGCAAAATGACATAAACATTTGACCTGACATTTGCTCTCGCTATCTTCACATTTAATTTAATTATGATATAGAATGCTGATTTTCTAATGCAATACATCACAGTACATGATGCGGCTGACTAAAGGCTGGCGAGAATGTCCCCCCTCTTCCGGGCACAGAAGTTACCCATGTGTTGCCCAAGAGAAGGGGACGCCAGGAGGAAGGAGGGGGAAGTTTCCGCCAAAAGAATGGGACACTTGCACTGGGACTTTCAAGCCAGGGGGACGCTCGAGCCGGTATTCCACCATAGCCATAGGTTAATATCCTCAAGTGTGCTGGTCCTGGCAGGTCAGTGGAAGGACGGGTCAAATGCAGAGAATGAATTTCAATCACGAGGGAATAAAAAGTATATCTTATCACTGCATAAAAGCTTGGCCAAAATGTAAGATATAAACACTTGAATCTATCAGATTTAAAGTTAAAAGTAGTGAAATAATCTGTCCATGCAGCTAAATAATTTTACTTAACAAGTTATGACCTCTTATATAAAGATGGGATTTTATATTTTATTATTTATCTTTCTATTTTATTTTGACTTGTATATAATTTTTTTGAATTATGCCTTATTTTGACACCTGTCTCTTGCTATCTTTTTGCTACTTATTTGGAATTTATTATTACCATTTATATTTTTTCGCTTTGTTATTATAATATATTGTGACGTGTGAGCTACTGTGTCCAAATTATTTCCCTTGTGGATCAATAAAGTTTGACTAAGTCTACATTGTCTAAGTTATCTTAAAATAAACTACCTCTAGACTAAAATTAAGCACTCTCAGAACTAGTGAGTATATAATAAATATGAAAACAAGATGAATAACCTTATATAAGTTTTAAAATCTTGGCCAGATCAGAGAAATTTGCAGTGTGGGACCATATTTGACACAAAAAGTTGATACTGATCAGACAAGGATTACCTTTGTCAACAAAAACATTTATTTGTCAGCATTATCCATAGGCTGTATATATAAATGGACATATATATATATATAAATCCTTGCTAACCAGCAAGCAGCCGCGTTCCAAATAGGAAGTGAGCATGGGCACGCTTCCGACTCCATCAACTCTGGCTTCAATTCACTTTGTATTGACAAAATGTCGCCCCACTCTCTGTAACTGCTGCTTTCAGGCTTCTCAGTTTGTTCTTGTTGTGTTTTTCTTTCATTATTTTGTCCGTAAATAATAATACCTGACTCCAAATTCTCCTCGATAACTGCTAGATTCGTTGAGCTTCACTTGACTGGAGCCAAACACAATGGGTGACGTCACACTCCCTTAGTCCACATTTCTATACAGTCTACAGTATTATCACTAGAATTGCTTTTATACTAATGAAAATACGGAGAAGAGCATTCCATTACACTGAAACAACTAGCATGCAAATTCATAAATAGTTCAAGACAGTTATAATGAGAGACAAATCTACACCATCTCCCAAACTAACCATATTTCTGTGTGTTTTCTTATATTTCACAACACATCGATGGCGTGTCAGAGTCCCTTTTAAATGACATAAATACAGGGTTTGAAGCAAAAACAGTTACAACATTAAAACAAACTCCTAAATTCACACAGGACCTAGCCGACTGCTTTGGAGGATTTGAGCTGCTCGTACGCAGAGAGCCGCCCATAATTAGCCTACATGCCCAAACATCTTCTCAGTTATCTTCTACAAATGGTTCCCTTTCAGCCACAAAGCCACATCCAGATATGCTCCGGCGTTTTGGCTCTGCTCCGGTAATAATGCTACGATAATAGAAGGCTACCCTTACATGTGATGCTTATTCTGTCAGTACCATGCATTTATGCTCAGAGAAGTGATGGCTCAATGAGACTATACAACACTGAAATTACTCATCATTAAAAAATACTGTCTTCTTGGATGATTTTTTAAATAGACTCAAAATTAGCCGAGCATAGTCAACGCAGCACTTGTGTGTGTGTGTGTGTTTTTATTATTATTATTTAAATTTTTAACAAACAGAAACAAAAATGGAGCAAAAATGGCCCGGTACTTGCGACTCTTAGCTTGAAGATTCCATGTTTGATTCTAGATCCAGAAGGGCCAGTCTGGATGGAGTTTGCATGTTCTCCCTGTGTCTGAGTGACTTTAAGTTATTTGTTTTTACTTATTCATTGGGCAAACAAGCCACTGATGTTTTGAAATTTAAGTTAATATGGCTAATAATATGTTGCACTTTTAATCAGAGGTGAGGACTTGCAGGTCGTGGCTTGGACTTGAGTCAGACTTGAGTCACAACTTGATAAAATGGACTAAGACTTGGGACTTGACTTGGACTTAAAGGTCAGTGACTTGGGACTTGGCTCAGACTTGAGGCCTGTGACTTGAGAAAACTTGAGAAGCATTTTAAAATCTGAATTCGTTCTATTCTGACCATAATGATTCACTCTAAGATTTTGTCAAGACATTTAAAAAGGACAAATTTGCATTTCTACAACTCTTATATACTCTATAAATACTCATATATAAATACACTATGATTACTAAATTGCAAAAATGTAAGCTCTATTTGGTACTTTGGTTTAAAGACTTGAAATGACTTGAAGCTCAAAGCAGATGACTTGGATTTTACTTGGACTTCGGAGACTAGACTTGGACTTGTGTGTATTTGACTTGGGACTTGACTCAGAGTTGAGGTCAAAGACTTGAAACTTACTTG